CCGTTTGATGAGATTGGCATATCTTACGGCTCCCGAAAGCTTTATAGAGCAACTATAGCGGTACAGACGTTAATTAGTGATGCTTTCGCCGGGGAACGCAGCAAGCTTTGAAACTAATTAATCCCAGAGGAACCCTGCAACCGATTCGTAAGACGTGCGTACGGTGGATGGTTTTTTCTTCAAGAATGGTGGATGTGCGAGGGGGTCGTCGTGTAAGTACCACCGTTCGCGCTATAGAACGAGACTTACCTGGAACAATCGTCGTCCGTGTTAGGGGGAAAGTATAGCGAATATTCCAGAAATCTCGATAGACACCGAGGTACTATGAAAAATTAGTCAACGGCGATAAAGAATGAAGGTGGCGTTTCCGGCCGATCTGAAACATTTTTTTTTTCGGCCTCAAAAAAAGGCAGTGTACCTATAACCTTCCTTTTTTTCAAAACTCGACTACACCAAAATTTCTCGGAAAAACACTTTTTCATATTAATTTTGGTGCGTAGAATCCAAAACGATTCGAACTTTTTCGATTAGACGTCTCAATCAAAAGTTATAGACTAGAAACCAATTTCGTAAGAAATGTCAAAGGGCTGTAACTTTTGATCTAGTAGCCCAATCTTGGAACTGTTTGAAATTATGGATTCTACAGGCCACATTCTATAAGAAATTGAGATTTGAGACAATTTTTTTTTCGACCGAAAAAAAAGGCAGTGTATAACCTTCCTTTTTTACCAAAAATCGACTACACCAAAATTTCTCGGGAAAACACTTTTTCGTAATAATTTTGGTGCGTATAGAATCCAAAACGATTCGTACTTTTTCGATTAGACTTCTCAATCAAAAGTTATAGACTAGAAATCAAACGGTAATGAACATTTTCGAAGAATGTGTCCCCAAAGTTACAATTAGGAGTGCCAATAAGTAGGTATCCTAGCTGGTTTAATATAGACATTATTAAGCAAATCAAACAGAAAAATAAGTGTCGGTTACATGGCCAATCGGAAGACTTCATTGAAGCCAGAAAAGAACTCAAAAGAATGATCCACATTGCTCATAAGAGGTACATTAATCAAATTGAAATGGAACTGCGGAAGAATTCCAATAAATTCTGGAACTACATCAAGTCGTTGAGGAAGAATAGTCACTACCTGGAGTTTTTGAGTAGGTACAAAGACACCTCGTTAACGGACGCCAGAAGCATTGCGGACGCCTTTGCATCCTTCTTCGAGTCAGTCTACACTGTTGAGAGGAACGATGACCCGGAAGATGACGTGGAATCGGACCTGGTGTTATCCAAATTGCACTTGACTCAGTTACACGAATCCGAGATACTGGAAGCAATTAAAAAATTGAAACCGAGGTCGGCTATGGGCGAAGATGGAATCCCACCCTACATCGTGAAAGGATGTGCATCTTTATTGGTAACCCCCTTACTACATCTATTTAATTTAGCTTTGCAAACATGTACATTCCCTGAAGCTTGGAAATGCACCAGAATAACACCAATTCACAAAAGTGGAAGCCGAAAATTAGTTGAGAATTATCGCCCAATTGCAATTATACCAGCAATAGCGAAAATTTTCGAAAGAGTGATCTATACTAGACTTTATTCCCATCTCAGCAGTATAATTGCAGATCAACAGCACGGTTTCACGCGGAACAGATCAACGATTACCAATTTAATGCAGTTTACGCATTTCTCAGCAGCAGCCTTGGATGAGAGAGCCCAGGTAGACTGTGTTTATACACATTTTGCGAAGGCATTTGACACAGTATCCCATCAAGTCTTGCTCCGTAAACTTGTTTTAAATTGCGTAAGTAATCCGACCGTCAAATTCCTGAAATCATACTTATCTCTCCGTAAAACAAGAGTGAAATTCAATGGTGTGAATTCAGCCGAATTTTATCCCTCATCGGGCGTTCCCCAGGGAACACTTCTTGGTCCTTTTCTGTTTCTCTTATACATAAATGATTTACCGCGAGTGATAAAAAACTCGAAAGCACTATTTGCGGACGACCTAAAACTTTTTAGTAAATTCCAATCCGCAAGTGACTGTTTAAATATTCAAGAGGACATTAACTCAGTAATTAAGTGGTGTATCAAAAATAAACTAAAACTAAATATCAATAAGTGCGTAAAGTCCTTACTTTTACTAGATCGAAAAATCCCTTACTTTTTGACTATAAGATGAATGGAAAGGTCTTACTAAGAGTCACCTCCGTTAAGGACCTGGGCGTGTTTTTCAATACCAACCTTAACTTCAACTTACACATTGAATACCTAACAAATGAGTGTTACAAACTTCTTGGTTTCGTTATCAGGCATACACTCAATTTCACGAATATACAGACAATGCTAACCTTATATAATGCGTTTATTAGATCCAAGCTTGAGTATGCTGCATGTATCTGGTCTCCTCAAACTCTCAAATACTCAGACATGATCGAAAAAGTGCAGAAAAAGTTCATCCGAGTAATGTTTTTTAGGTCAACCCAAAATTATCCACATTTGGTCTCTTACGGTACCCAGCTTAATTACTTAAATAGTACTTTCGGCTTAAATATAACGAGGTTAGAAACCCGACGGCCAATTGCCTCCACAATTTTTATCTTCAAAATTTTACACAATTCGTTAAACTCTACCGAGTTACTTCAAGAAATTAAGCTTAAGGTACCATATATTGTGTGATCAAAACTCTCTAAACCTTCCCCATATAGTTTTTATTCGTTGAAGTTTTTAAAAATAAAAGCGACTATAGTTTCGGCGTACTGCCATCCGCCATGATACCGGTTTGTCAATCATTTCTAGACATGCCGTCTGCATGATCTCGAACTTAAACTTACTTAAATAATTTAAATATGTAGTCATCTCAATAGTTTTCAAAACTTTATAAGTTTATTTTTTCCCCCGGTTCTTTTGAAATGTGTTAAATTCAACTTTCAACTTTTAATGTAATAATTCAACCCTCCGGTTGGTTGTCTTAACAAGGCTTGATATAATTCGTTTTGAAACTTAGGACAACCTTTCCGGTTTAACCACTCTTCAGGTTTTTTCACTTGGCTTCGGCCAGTTAATAATTAAAAAACAACATGTTCGTCTTATTCGTCTTCAACGTTTGTATGTAACTTACCATTTTCCTGTTAAATTTCACATCGCCTGATGATGGCAGTACGCCGAAACTATAGTCGCTTTTATTTTTAAAAACTTCAACGAATAAAAACTATATGGGGAAGGTTTAGAGAGTTTTGATCACACAATATATTTCAACCCCCATTTCGAGGAACGATGGATCCAACCCAAAAAAAAAAAAAACTTAAGGTACCATTTGTTAAGCTAAGGCAAAATAATACTATTTTTGCAGTTAACAACAGAACTTCCCCACTTATTAAGATCTTTGATCACTTTAAATAAGTTGTCCTCAGTTAATAATATCGACTTTTTTCACGATCCCCTAAATTCAATAATAAATAAAATTAGATGTTAAGTCCTAATATTTGTTCAGAGCCCCAGTGCCATATGTAATTGGAATTTTTATTCTGTATGGTTTCTGGTTAAACAAATAAATAAATAAATAAAAACCAATTTCGTAAGAAATTTGAAAGGGCTGAAAATGAATCTGTTAAATTTTGAGACTAATTTTAACAACATAGGACTTACCTATAATTCAAAGAGATTTTCCAAGATCAGCTATAACTTTTAGTCTAGAAATCATCATTTGCTACTGTCATCATGAAAATGACACTTTCCACAGTAGGGTTTTACCCTGGCAGTGTATAACCTTCCTTTTTTACCAAAAATCGACTACACCAAAATTTCTCGGGATAACACTTTTTCTTATTAATTTGGGTGCGTAGAATCCAAATCAATTCGTACTTTTTCGATCAGTCTTCTCAATCAAAAGTTATAGACTAGGAACCAATTTCGAAAAAAAATTCAAAGGGCTGTAACTTTTGAACTAGTAGCCCAATCTTGGAACTGTTTGAAATTATGGATTGTACAGGTCACATTCTATACGAGAATTTTTTTTCCGGGTCGATCTGAGACAATTTTTTTTTCGGGGCTCAAAAAAAGGCAGTGTATAAACCTTCCTTTTTTACCAAAAATCGACTACACCAAAATTTCTCGGGAAAACACTTTTTCTTATTAATTTGGGTGCGTAGAATCCAATTCAATTCGTACTTTTTCGATCAGACTTCTCAATCAAAAGTTATAGACTAGAAACCAATTTCGAAAAAAAATTCAAAGGGCTGTAACTTGTGAACTAGTAGCCCAATCTTGGAACTGTGTGCAATTATGGATTCTACAGGCCACATTCTATAAGAAAATTTTTTTCCGGCCAATCTGAGACGCGTGTGACGCAATGTTTGCGGGAAATATCATGAGTTCGAGATCTTTTGAGAACGCAGGGGATTAATTTAAATAGTTCGCATTTTTATAAATAATATTTTAACTACTATAAATTATTGGAAGCGATGGAACTACTTGTGGCAAAACTTTTACATGACTTTCTCTCCATTTCAAGACCCTTATAAATTTATTACAATAAGGGCGAACCTCTTCAACTGCAGACAATGCAATATCATTATTGGTTGCCTATCCAATTATTTACTTATCCGTAATGCAAAATTTTATTGGCAATTTAGGTGGCTGCTATTCACAATACAGTATTTTATTTAAAAAAACAACAGATACATTACAAAAATTATTACAAACATGTATTTAAAGCTGTTCAAACATTTCTCGAACATGTGCCCTTAAAATGTAATTCCATAAGCAAGACCTCCATGGATAGCCAACGCCACATCAGAAATGGACCAAGCGACTCCTGGTTCATTTAATCTAAAGTAGGGACATTGAAAGGAAATTAAAATAAAAAAGAACAAAAAATAGAGCCCTTCATTAGTCACAATGATTTCTGCGATGTTAGAACCATTTAGACAAAAGCACAGTTTAGTAAAAGTAATGTTTTTAACGAAATTCGGTGAGGGAAATCAAAAGATACTTAAAATTAACTGTTTATTCATTACTTCTTACAAAACTGTATGGTGAACTATAAAATATGCAACATTTTTTAACTTAGCTGGTAAATTGGACTTTGGTCTAGTATATTTAGGCCTTTTTATGGCACGGGCATTAATCAAATTTACCAGAAATAATTTCAAGACACCGCTAATGCCATGGAGCTTCTCGTGACTGTGAGATGGTACCAAGCTTGATATACCTTGCAGTTTGAGAGACAGCGGCCATTGGAGGAGTAGGTAGACTTGCAGCGGAAGAGACCGATGAGCGATGGCCTTCATTGCTAATATGCGAGCCGTCACCTTTTAATACTGCAACTGGCTTCCAAGCGTTGATGTAGTTCACTGCAAAAAAAGTTTAATGCGAAATTCAGTGAGAGCGACAAACATACTTTTAAACATACGAACACAACCATCATCTCCACTTGATGCCAAAATTGTGCCGGTAATATTCCAACACACTCTCCACACCATACAACCGTGATCATCGAATTGTGCTGCTGTTTGTATGTCAAGCTTGTTCAGTCCACTTTGGGTGTTAGCGTTATCACTGCAAGTGTCAAATAAAATTACAGTAAATCGAAGGTGTAACTTACGGAATGGGAGCCAAACTAATGATCCTAACGTCTTTAGTTGCAATGGCTAATAAATGAAAACTACGTCCTAGATTGGGGGAGAATGCAATGTCATGAACGGGATCTGTAACGCTTGCTATTGTATCAGTCTTGATCCACCGCCTTATGTTGTCGCTGTATTCGTATATGAAGACTTTCCCGCCTGCTGACAAGTTGGTATCATCACTTCCCACGGCCAGCATCAAAGGATGATTCCTGGAACAGACCCTTAAATTTACGTGCAAAAGATTGACAACCTACTTTGATAAGCTGGGATTCCAGGTTAGACAACTGCACGATAATTTACATTGGATCTCGTGCTGTAGAGTCCACTGGCTTAAATTCATAACATCGGGCGCTTCATAAATTCTAATAACACCGTCAGCTGAGCAAGTTGCAAGCTGTAGCCCCTGCGTTCTCGGTCCAAACTTCACATCCGTAACAGACGTGCGTGAGTCGACCAGATTCGTTCTCCGCACCCAATGACGCGTACCTCTCTCCCCCGGGCCGGGCGTTTCACCAACTGAAACACCGAAATGTATCAACGGCCCATTTCAAAGCATCTAACCTAACTCCTCCCAGACGGCGGCCGTTCGATCAAACGAGCAGGTCGCTAGAACCTGGCCGAATTCGGGATGCGCCCAAGTTACTTTCCACACTGAGCCGCTGTGCGCCTTCCAGCTGGACGTTAAATTCCACTTGCCTTCGCTATTTTGATCCCACACCTACGGAGTACACTGATCTCTCGATTATTACAATGAAAATACTCGCCTTAACGTATTGATCGCTCGAACATGTCGCCATTCGCTCGCCATAAAAATCGTATGCAACATCGTGTATTAAGTCTTTGTGCTCTGCATTTACTTCTTGAGCTTCAAACATTTTTCTTATTTAGCAAAAACATGTAAACATAACCCTAAACAATAAACGGGAAACTTTCCAATCCGCAAACACAAAAAGTAACTAAAAAACTAACTAGACAACGTGATGCTTTTGAACTACTAACTGCACTTGCACCTAATCGCATTATATACGAGGTTTACCTAATAAGTAATATGCACTAGTTTTTCAAATCTAGTACTAATTTGAATGCACATTATGGGGCTTCTGCAATAAATATAAGGGCTTTTATTACAAACGACCCAAAGAACTCGTAGACGTATTCTCATATATATATCAACGAATGTCGTGTCGCGTAATTGTAAATTTTATGCACTTTTTCGTATAATATGAGGCGGATTTGGCCGTAGTTTGAGTATCTAAGGACTTTAATGTGCGGCGAGTGCAATTTTTTTAATTAATAATTATATGAGAATGTTCTTAAACTATCAGTGGAATTTAGTAGATTAGTACAACCATAATAAAAATAACGAATAATAACTAGCTTTAATGGTTTACATGCTTTGTACAATAAAACTTTGATAAACTATAATTACTTTACACATTTTTAAAATGCATATAAACACACTATCCAAAAATAGTGGGTAATTAATTTTTTTAAGGCACTGCCCTTGGCTAATTGAGTAATTATACTCAAGTACCTACTAATTTGCAATACATAAGGAATGAGCCTAGTTAAATTTGGAATGTTTATTTTGTCTTCTTTTTCGTTTTCATAGGAGTAGGGGGGCATATTGTAATAACGGCGATTAATATGCTTATCAGCATAGGAATAATCGTGAATGCTTGCAAAGCGTGGACGCCATATAAATCACAGAATACGCCGAAAATAAAAGGTGTTGCGATAGAAGCTACCTCTCCAATACCATCTTGAACACCCTCAATTTCGTGATCTTTCGTTGATCGTTCCGTAAAGGCATTTTTCCAAAGTGTAATTAATAAAGTATGAGCAAGAATCATTGGAATAAAACTAATTAAATACCAATCGTAAGTGTTGGCAAAACATAAACCCATAAAACCTGCTGTGGCAATAAACAAAGACGTTATAATTGCAGAAGAGGACTTGGAAATATTAAGAAATGCGGTGATAAACGGTGCCAAAAATGTTAAACTACCTTGGTATGAATAGGAACAACCAATTACTGGCATTGACAATTGGTAACGTACTTTTAAAAGCATGGAAAATTTCATAAAAAACACTGTTGCACTTACACTGTGCAAAAACTTTAAAATTACAAAATGCCAATCTTCCTTCATCTTCAATTTGTTAAGTCTACCAAATTTCCTCAGCAAATCGGCCGCACTTCTCGTTAAAAATGTCCCGGGGGTCTCTGAACTTGTACTACTCGAGTTGGGCAGTGTTACGGCAATAACTGCAAAAGTGTACATTTACCAACGAACGCTAGTATTGTTACTTACGAATGCAAATAAACAGAAATATTGCCGCAAGCCTACAAATATAATAAAAACCATCCGCCTGTTCATAAATTGCACCACTAATCATTGGACCTATCACAAAGCCGGCCACAGACATTACGTTCGTAATACTTTGTACATTGGGAAGACTTTCTTTGGAGTTGTGTTCTGCCACAAATGAATTGCAGACATGATGAATTTGACTCGTTAATCCTACAACAAAAGTGCCTACAACAAGTACAACAATTATTACGCATTACCAACTAGCAAACGTAATAGAATGATGTAGAAATAAGATGTTGTGGTGCCAAACGGTATGTAAACAACGTAATTAATCGCGAGAATAAGTAGTAAAGTGGCCTTTTTGCCGAAAGCATCTATCCAAGTTCGCTAAAATCAACAATCCTGTCACATTTGGAGATTGTCGTCGAAACTTACCGTTAAACTCCCAGCAAAGAGGCGAGTAATTGTGTATAGAGTAGCTAATGTGCCTAAAACAGTGTGCGTACCACCCAAAGATGTAATGTGCGAGGCTAAAATAGGAAGGAACAGGCCCAGAGCCAGAGAGTCCTGAAGGTTCAAATGGCACTCAAAGCTAACAGCTCGGGTTTACTTACCAAGAAGCAAATTATGTAAAATTTTACATTCAATTCCATGATGTTTGAAGGAGTTGTAGAGGTACAAGTGGCAGTGATTTCTAATTACATGGTTAAGTAACTATTCAATGAAGCATAGTATAACGGTGCCAGCTAGTGGTTGTATAGGCCAGTTGAAATTAAATCGCCACAGATAAGTTAAGATAATTCGGACGTCACATATTTCAATTCAAAATTCGTCAAAAAAATAGAAGTTGCTGTTACATAACCTCACTTAAAATGTGGAATACAGGATGATCCAAAAGATAATTCTTTCTGAGTTGAACCATTGTATACAGGGCGATCCATGTGTATGGGATTAATATATTTGTAGCGTTGTTATGTACTATTGGGGAAAAACACCCCTTCTGAGATCCAAGTCTGTAGTGTTATGGAGTACATTTCAAATTTTCAATGTAAAAGTCCTTCAACCACATTCATTGTTCTCCAATTCTTCTTTTTTTCCTGAAAAATGAGGGTAGTTTGTAATGCTATCTTTATTTCCAGAACTCCTCATAATTTTACACTTTTGTCGTTTATTGTGGTTTGTTGTATTTTGTTTTTTAATTAGCTAAAACTTAAACATGAAACTTGCTCTACTTTAACCTAGGATTAAAGAAACCCAAAATTTGATTGACGAAACTGTTAAATGTATTGATAGAGAAAAATTGGTTCTGTTAGAAATCACGGTTAACCTCTTGGATCATTATTTATCACGTGCACTTTTTGAAAAAATAAATTGGGCATGCGTTATTCCAACTTTCTTATTTATGGGCAGTTTTTTTCGGTAATTTTAAAGGGAATGTGCATCCTAAAAAAATATTAAACGCATACACAGACCAAAATTATTGCGCAGTGTATATTTTGGTAGTAATTTTATCCATGGTGCTCCAAAAGTGGTCAACAGCCCCCCAACTAGAAAATTTTAGATTGGACACCCTGCATTTTATTCTGAAATAAATTTATTGAAGACAGATCTATATTATTCAATCATTTTTTGAGATATATTGAATTTTAAAAAAATCCAAATTTGAGCATTTTACTCTTTATATCTAGGTATACATATCGAACTGGGATTTCTATATATCTTTAGTTCCCTTCATGTTGGATCTTAAAAAATTGTAGTTTAGTATAAAAATCACCACCTTTCATTTCTAAAAGGCTTACCCATTATATGTATATTGTATAAAGATCTGCAGTAATAATAATCGTGCGAGAAACCTATCAAACAATTGTTTCATTGCCAGGAAATTTGCCTGATAGGAATTCTCGCACGATTAGGGCGCGAGTGCACCATCCTGTTGAAACTAACAGTTTCCAACTTTTATTTTTCTGTGTGAAAATTTTGGTTTTTCTGGCATTTTTCGGAAGTCATCGGAATTTTCTGATTTTCTTTACAGCATAAAATTATTTCAAGTAAATAAACGGAACAAGACATAAAATATAACTACGAACTAGGTCTCTAGAACTTTTTGGTCGCAAACTGACATTTATGAATTTTGTGAATTGGCCGCAAATTGAAACTATCAACCAAAACTGAGTTTCTAAAAATGATAAGGTGCCATAAGTAGTTGGGTTACATTTTTTGGACAGTTTTTTTTACACCAGACACTACGTTTTTACCATTTAGTACGGATACAGAGTGTCCAAGGACGAGTTAAGTGATCAATCATTACCTCGACAACTAATGCGAATAAATTTATGAAAAATTAGGAATAGGGATTTTGCATTGAATGAGCAGCTTTCAGCCAAAGTAATTTCAATGTTATACAATGTTTCAGTTATATTGGAAGAAAAACATTGTTTTTTAAAAGTTCGAATATTTTAGTAACAAAAAGAGCTATCGAAAGAAGTCAATCACGGAAATTGTTTGTGAGCATATGTTAAGGGTTTTTGCTTGGATTCTGGAGTTCTGAGTTGAATTCCGGGTGTTATCGACCTAGGGCATAATAATAAGAGATTTTTTTGGCACAGTCTAAAATTCTGGGTAGTCCCTCAATACCCCTAAAAGCATCTGCAATGCAATGGAAATTCCAATGAGATGTCGCCACGTACGAAACTACCTTCAAAAGAACAGTTTAATTTATGCACTTAATAGCCACATCCAACTCAATTTTCCTTAAAGGGCAGTTGAAACTGTGCAATTTCATGTAGGATTTGTAGAGCAATTGTACTTCAATCATCCAGTATCTGGAATTGTCTTTTGTGTATGCAATTGGTACATTTGCGCCATCTCTTTGGTAATCCCTATACTTTTCCTAATTATTTTCTTGTAATAGTTGAACCAGTTCCAATGAGATGTCGCCACGTACGAAACTACATTCACAATAACATTTTAATTTATGCACTTAATAGCCACGTGACACGTCCGACTCAATTTTCCTTACAGGGCAGTTGAAAATGTGCAATTTCATGTAGGATTTGTAGAGCAATTGTACTTCAATCATCCAGTATCTGGAATTGTCTTTTGTGTATGCAATTGGTACATTTGCGCCATCTCTTTGGTAATCCCTATACTTTTCCTAATTATTTTCTTGTAATGAACCAGTTCCAATGAGATGTCGCCACGTACGAAACTACATTCACAATAACATTTTAATTTATGCACTTAATAGCCACGTCCGACTCAATTTTCCTTAAAGGGCAGTTGAAAATGTGCAATTTCATGTAGGATTTGTAGAGCAATTGTACTTCAATGATCCAGTATCTGGAATTGTCTTTTGTGAATGCAATTGTTACATTTGCGCCATCTCTTTGGTAATCCCTATACTTTTCCAAAATAATTTCTTGTAATAGTTGAACCAGTTCCAATCAGAGCAGGGCAGAATACTTTCAAAAAGTATTTGCATACTAAATACTAAGTTTATAGTAAATACTTTAGAGTACTTAGACAAATCAAATAGTATTTACTTTAGAATACTAAATACTTTTTCAAATACTTGTCCTCAAATAGGTACATTAAAGATAAAAGATAAAAGTCTTAATACTAGTAGGTACTACTTAAAAAATGTCAAGTTATACTTTGTATGGGGGCTACTTGGAAGAACAGCGTTTTGTGCACTGAATGTAGTCCCTTCCCCTGAGGTTATTTTTTTTATATTTCTATTGTTATTTAAGAGCAGTAAAAGGGTATTATTATTATATTATTATATATGAGTTACCAGGACCTTTCTTATAGTACACCTTTCTGAAATTAATCCTAGCGATTTTGAAACAGCTCCTTTTTTGTCCGTCCGAAACGTGAGATCGCTTTAGATTGTATTCGAATACTTTCAAAAGTATTCGAATACAGTAAAAAGTATTCAAATACTTGTCACTCAAATAGGTACATTAAAGATAAAAGATAAAAGTCTTAATACTAGTAGGTACTACTTAAAAAATGTCAAGTTATACTTTGTATGGGGGCTACTTGGAAGAACAGCGTTTTGTGCACTGAATGTAGTCCCTTCCCCTGAGGTTATTTTTTTTATATTTCTATTGTTATTTAAGAGCAGTAAAAGGGTATTATTATTATATTATTATATATGAGTTACCAGGACCTTTCTTATAGTACACCTTTCTGAAATTAATCCTAGCGATTTTGAAACAGCTCCTTTTTTGTCCGTCCGAAACGTGAGATCGCTTTGAAAATTGGTACACATGGTCTTAAGGATATAAGAAAGGTCCCTATTGTTTTTAAGTTACGAGTATCGGGTCAAAAAGTTTCACTCTAGGGTCGTTCGGTATTCAGTTGTAACGGATTTTTATATTTGATTTTGTGATAATGGAAACTTCCTCTAAACATTTCTAAATAGTTCTCAAATATTTGAATAACTTAAAAGTATTCAAATACTATGCGAAGTAGGTATTCCAATACTAATTATATTTGCGAAAGTATTTGAGTTACAAATACAAATACTGCTTCCATAAAAGTATTTAATTACAAAGTATTTGAATACTGAAAAGTATTTACAAAATCGAATACTGCCCAGCTGCAGCTCTGAATGGAATTATATTATTATATGTTTAAAAGGATTTTTGCCAAGGAAACTATTTGGAACATATTTTGATGGAACTTAAAAGTTTATAGGTACTTATGTGATTTCGTCCCCTATTCCAATTCCGCCTATTTATGGCTTTGGAGAATGGTGAAGGGGGGTACAAATCCCAGGACGCAAACATTTTTATTAATAGTTGCAATTGCAATTATTTTGCGAGAAGCACAACTGCAGTTCGCAATGTAAATTTGCGATAGTTGGCCTAGGAGGCGCCGACTAGTCTACACGGACAGACAGGCAGGAGAACAAAAACTACAATTCCCGGGGTTGCGCTAAAGTTAAGTCTGCGACAAAACTATCTCCCGTACGCATTATTTTCGAAATTTGTATTGATTTTGTGCAATTAAGTAAATAACGAAAGAGAGCTGTATACCAACAACGCCGCAAATGTTGATTAAAGGTCAATTGTGGACACATTTTCTGATAGCTAAGCTCGTTCTCTTGCATGGGAATATTTTAATATCAGATACTCTCCGCCCGAGGTTTGAAATGAATGTGTCAGTGTGGGTGGTGATGATGATGTGTTCTCTTACGGTCGATAAGAAAATTATGTAAAGTACCTATATAAATGGAACTGTTTGCTAATTCAAAAAGATGGAAATCTAATGGTGACATATCCAGAAAGGAAGACTTATCGTGCATTAGTAATAGCTCGATATCAAAACGTAAACATAAAGTGCCATTAATGGGTAAAACCGTCTTATTAGCCAAACATGCGAATATTACTGTTATGCAGCATGTTAACGAGTCGGAGATAATTACCAAATTAGTGTTAGAAAAATTTAAGAACATTTTAGATCGTCACCGGCAACGCAGTGAGCTTCGGGCTAAACATCGCGTGCAAACTAAATTTGATGAAGAACTGATGGAAGAACAAGAAGTCGAAGATTCTCCCAACGTTACCTTAACTCGGGACGAGCCAATTATAGTGGTGGAAAGCGCACCAGCTTCCGAAAAATCCTCGTCGGACGATGACGCGGAAGCGCCGGAAGAAAAAGCCGAATACGACGTTCAACAATTTTTATTCGACGCCTTAGGGGGAGAGCTGCATAATTATCCCAGTAACTCTGAAGTTCAAGTAAGTTTCCATTTTTTATTTCACAACATTACGTTAGATTTCCCTTTTTGGCCCAGCAATTACATTACATTACATCTGAAATTGACATCCGTACAGAATTCTGCGTCTGCATAACTTACGTAGAGGCGCCCCAGTAGACGCCAGTTGCTCGTCGAATACGAAACTTTGTACTTCGTATGTCATTGTTCATTGTATTAGTATAGTTGTTCTTTCATTATATTTTTAGGTAGCATTATTATGCCTATGTTAAATTCTACACCTATACAAAGTTATACCATTTTTTTTGCTTATTATGCATGAGATTGTTTTTTATAGGCAGGAGATTATTATCTTTTTAATGAAATAAGAAAGCAAGAACTCCCATTGAGTTTGCGGACAATTATTGACCCGTAATGTGTAAACATGGTGCATTCATCCTCAAAAAGTTTTTATATGTTAGGAGTAAATGAAAAAAGAAAAACTTCATTGTAAAATTTCATTACCTACCTTTGGCACAGAACTATAAAATTCCGCCAAAATTACCAAATGCATCGCACAACAAAGGTTTAAAAAAGTATTTGTATTCTTTCAGAACTCCAAACTCCAATTCCAATCTGTAGCTTTATTTACTATTGGCATTGAATAAAAACCTTCCATGCAATTAGTTTCCAGCAAGTTATGAGGTACTATCTGGAACTCCAACCGAATTACCGAACTCAAAAATTCCTTTGTAGCAAATGTAAAAATCTTCCATTTTTTGTCGCCAGCCAAAAACTAATCAGAGACACTTTAAGAAGTCTCGAGGCCGAGGACCTAACCGGAACCATAAGCAAAACTGGGAGCTCAATGTTCCTAAAAAATGACTCCAAGTATTCCTTTGGGACTACGAAAAGGTCTCAAATCATTTTATGTACTATCAAGTTTACCCATAAAATTTACTAAGGTCTCGTAGTGATACTCCGGATTTCAAAAACTCATTTAGCATTAGCAAATTTTCGAAAATATAGAAGGGTACTATTGTAGGCGCTTTGCTTGATTGTCCGGCTGACAGTATTATAATCAAAATTGCTATTGTGGTGACAAATTAAGCTTTTTACTTCTACCAAAGACTGTGGGGGAGGGTAGTCTTTGCCTCGGTCTTTGCTTCTATGTAGTAACAGTTTTTACCGAGGTTTTTACATTCAAATTATGTCTCAGTGTACACAAGTACGTTGAAGTACCTACTAATGAACAATTTATCCTGTTACATTCAAACAGCATTTTCATTATTAACGAGCTCCTATCGTAATGTTTCAAATACAAATTTGGTTGTCTGATTAGAGTTTCGTATAAGTAGTGCCTATAGTCCCTTAATCTTTGCTGACAAACTTCTTAAGCGTTCTACACCTTTCTTTAATGGTGTAACGCAGTAACGGTAAACTGCCAGATAAATATTATGCCCTCGGTTATGCCTTTTCACATTACACGGTTTTGCCCCTTCACTACTATTTTTAATCGTGTTGCAGCCGTTGTCAAATGCACTCTTTCATAGTTCATCTTCATACTATACGATTTCAGTTGTGCACGATTCAAACCCGTGCGGAAATATTCCCGCACGGGCAAAATTGTGTAATGTCAAAAGAGCGATAGCTACGGCCGCTAAAAAATGGTACCTAACGGCTTCCTCGGGGACTTTGTTATTGGGGATGTATTTGGTATTTTTGGTAGAATAGTTTCGTATGAAATGTTGGTTGACCCTTCAAAATCACCGAAACTAAAAAATGCAGTTGTTTTGGTGAAATTTTGGAACTCCTTAGGTATTTAATATACATCGGTGTTCCTAAATATGATGTAAATACGGAAGGGGCGAATTCTTTCGCTTATTTTATGACTAAAAGTACATATTCGCAAACGCTTTGTGACCGATCTACAGGGTGTTAAAATTTCATGATTTTTAAAGTTTTTTCTTTATATCTTCGCATTTAAGATAGTTTACTCAATTTTGCAATATAAGTTACGCTGAAGGGGATGGTACGGAACTATAATGTTCCATTTTCTACCCTTGAACTTTTTTTCGGCGCACCACTGGGAAACAAGTTGTGAAACAATAATTTAATTTTCTGGTTTGTTTCGAAACTTTTTGGTCTCTTAAAAATTGAGGAATTCTTTTAATTAGGGACGTGATAGATAGATATCTGCAGAATCGAAATGCGATTTTCGGCATAGTGTTCAGAAAAATACGAAGAAGAAAAATGTACAATACAGGTTGAGCCATTTTTTTAAAATTGCGTAAGAGATGCAAAAAAACGTATCTATTGTTGCACCCTCGGTTGCATCATTACTTTCAAAATTATAAACATTATATGAAAAGCTAGAGCAATCGTTTAGAAATCGTTACTCGGGGGGGTTTAGTCTGCCGTCGAAATTGAGATGCTTAGGGGCGACACTCCCGTACTGTGTTTTGGAGTAAGAAATTAACCGTGTTGGGAATTTGCTCGAAAATTGTTACTCGGAGGTTTTCGCGGAGTCGATATCTGCCCTCGAAATTCCCTAGAGATGTTCAGGGGTGGCGATACCGATGAGACGGGGGTAACTTTTTTGAGTAGAAAATGTCCATTTTTTTAGGTTGTAAAAAGGAATTACACAGAAAAATATGGGATTTAGAATAATTCAATAAACATTTTGAATACTTTAAAAAAAGTTTGTATAATAAGTTTTATTTTTACCCTGTCAGTTAATAGCTTTTCTTTTGTACCTTCGAATATTTCTAGCCTGGAAAACATTCCCGGAAAATGTCCTCTAAATATATTCTCTTCAAAATGAATTTCCCTCAGAATCCGGAGATTTCCCATCATTTTACAATCTTTGGGAACTAATCGGAATACTTTTTTGCTTGTGCCCAATTGTACCTACGTTTATAATAACAATATTGACATAGTTATCTCATGAATGTAAACGGGTAAAAGACCGCTCTACCCTCGACTCTACTCCTCCAAGAACAAAGTAGTATAGTAGAAGAGCAGATATTATGTGCATATTATAACTTCTCATTGGGCAAAATTAAAATAGTATTCAATTTCATTCTTGAAGGTCAAAACATGCCTAAATTTTGGAGGGGCCGAACAGTCTTTCATCCCCGACATGATTATTTCAAATCTCAGATACGTAAAAGAGGGTACAAGTGGGTGAAAAATCAGAGCACACGTTAATCCTATTGATAAAGCGCTTGCAATTTATTTTATTTATTATTTATTTTTCTCTGCAGTATTTCCAAAGAAGATGTTGATGGTGAACTGTTTAAGAAATGTACTTTAATTTAATGCGAGATTGAATGTTTGCTTTGTAGACCCTTTGCCAGTGATGTTCTCTATGGATTATTCCATTTATTGTAAAAGGCCCCATACACGGTACGATCGATCTGTCCGATCCGTCGTTTCAGACCGATCGAAACGACGAATCGATAGTGTATGTCAAGATCGTTAACGATTTGCTTCATCGAATTGGATATCGGACATCGCAACAAAAAAGCATGCAATCGTGAATATCGTAACGATGAATCGACAGTGTATGGCTTATTCGTTTCGTGTGTGAGTGGTAGGCTTTGGGCGATTTATTGTCACGATATCGCATCAGATCGATCGTGACGACGGATCGTACCGTATATGGGGCCCTTTAGTACTTTAGAAGTACACTCAAGATAAGATATCAAAACCATTCTAATTTCTATTTTTTTCGGTTATCGAAAAGGTGTACGTAGCGGTCTAAATTTACTGGTTTGTCGTCGTCCGCAATAGAAATACGAGGGTGTATGAAGGAAACCGCACAAGGTTAATAAAATATTTTCAAAAATTCAAAAAACGACGGCACTACGCTTTTCAGATCATTATCTGAGGCAATTTTTTTGCTCAATAAAACTTCCATAAACCTCACTATTAATAGGGATACCCAGGGGCGGACTGGGTACTTACGGGCCAGGTGGAATTGCATAGGTTACGGGCCATTAAAGTATTAGTGTAGTAATGAAGGTGGCGGGGGGGTAGCTCTGCGGTGCACCACAAAAACATTTTTTTGCTTCATTTTAGTACTCCTTTTTCGGAAATCAATTACAATACAGTTTTTTTTAAATTGCAGCTGATAATTAAAACTTGGGACGTCCGATCGAAAAAGTACGATTTGTTTTGGATTTATCCACTGCCTTTTTTTGAGCTCCGAAAAAAATTGTCTCAGATCGACCCGGAAAAAATTTTTTTAATAGAATGTGACCTGTAGAATCCATAATTTCAAACAGTTCCAAAATTGGGCTACTAGTTCAAAAGTTATAGCCCTTTGAATTTTCTTTCGAAATTGGTTTCTAGTCAGGGGCGGGCCAGGTGGAATTGCATAGGTTACGGGCCATTAAAGTATTAGTGTAGTAATGAAGGTGGCGGGGGGTAGCTCTGCGGTGCACACAAAAACATTTTTTGCTTCATTTTAAAGTACTCCTTTTTCGGAAATCAATTACAATACAGGTTTTTTTTTAATTGCAGCTGATAATTAAAAGTAACAAAATATACAATCCAAACGAGGCGCGTCGCCTATCATTGTATTTCATCACTTTCATGCTACGACAAAAAATGATAAATTAATTGTAAAACACTTTAATTAAAACAGAATTTTTTAACAACCTAACATCAACCCCAATTAGAGAAACGTGTTAATAACTTATTAATAGTGCAAGAAACTAAATACAGCACATACTTATAAATTTCCAACGGGCCATTATGACGTACAGGCCAGGTGGCAATCGCCACCCGCCCCCCCGGGCCAGTCCGCCCCTGGGTATACATTTTGCCGTGTACATTCTATATGCACAATGTCCCCTCAGTCTCAACTTTCCAGTCGAGGACTGGGTTTTTCCTTTTTTGGGGACGAAGGAACTCCATTGAATCCTGTTTTGTGGAAGAGTCCCGGTGAAACACTTACTACTATAATCGTTTGCCAAAGCACCCCAATATACTCTTGACAAATTTCTTTCTCCACCAGCTTCTCCTCTAATCCATCGATCAGACACTTGTCATGCCCAAGACTCGATAGATATAATTTAAAAAACGCCCTTGTACAGTTTAGATACCTTCAGTACCTATCAGAACCAGCAAATGGAGGATAATGTTAGCTCTATACATCTGGACGAGCATCTGGAGGATGAAACCTCCCCTATCCACAGTTGGATTTAGTAGTAGGTACAATCCTGTAGGAGTTCTTCCGCTCAGGGTAGGGGTCTTTACTTATTCAAGCTACACTGACCTTGTTTAATTCACTTAACTCGTCGTGAAGATGGTGAAGGTGACAAGTTTCCGGGTTTCATGATGACATTTCACAGTGGGGAGGAGATTCCTAAAAACGGTCTACGTCTTTGCCTATTATAGCCACTGAACAGGAAACTAATGCTTTAATAATCATCATTTTGAAGTTTTAATTTTTAAGAGCACATTTTGCGAAAACCTCGCGTTGTTTATACTGTATATATAGGTAGGTATTGCCATAGTATGTGTCGAGGTATGTGTTATATTATGGTATTGCGAAGAACTTCTCGTTGTTAAAGTTCCGATTGCACATTGCACTTGACACAAGCCTAATATATTTAAGATATGATTATATTTTAGATAAGACATTTGAAGACCTAAATACTGAATCTGTATTTTCAGAGTGACCTTCACAATTACAATTATAACGACGACTTCAGCATAGGAACTTCAAACATATCTACATTATTATCTAAATCCAACAGTTCATATAGCCACTTCTCGAGAAAAATGCGCCGCTGTAACACTTACGCTTCTTCGACCATGTACGACAAGGTGACAATTGACGATGATTCCATACATCCTGAGGATAGCAAAGCAGCACAATATATAAGCGAGGCCGCTAGACAGCATCACATAATCATCCAGGCATCAAAAGCTCTAAATTTGTGCCTCAGTTGCAAGGAATTCAAAGCGAGTACTGAATATGCAGAGGCAGAAAGGATACTTCTATTGGCCAGTAAGTTGCACTGTTTCTAGGTATCTACCCTGACTTGCTGCTTTCAGTTGAAAAGAGAGAAGCTGTGCTGAGAGAACTGAAAATGGTGGAATACGAAGACCTAACTGAAGACTGTTACAGTGTCGGCCATGTCAAAATTGGTAATTTACTGTTTCACCCCATCCGGACAGGTAATTTAAAAACGAAATTGATAACACAATGCTTCTTTGCGATTGCAAGTTGTGGTCCACACGTCCTAGCTACGGAAATAGCCAAACTGGATGACCAAAATCGGATAAACTTCAATAAGTGCTTTATGTTTGACTCTCTACCATCAGATTTTGAAATAATAATCAAGTTGTATTATTTAAATATTCTGAATGCTAAGCGATTAGCAAAGACGGTAAAAGTAAATTGATAACTTGCAATATTACCGACATGTTTTCTTGTAGGATACAACTATGTGCCCATCCCCGAATCACATACTCGGGTTTTACAAGAAGTCTGAGACCAGAAGTAGGAGGCTCTACAGTTATGAACGCCGGGAACCTTCCTTTAATTTATACGGCGCAGCTAAAGTTGTTATTTCGGACTTGGCACAGTGTACCTTCAACTTGACGAACTGTAATGAATCACTGGGTAGCGTTGATTTACAAATCACCAGTTCAATAGAACTTTCCTTGACGCACAAGGGATTTCTAACTATAGGTTCAGAAGCTGGCGGGCTGGCTGTGTGGAATAGGCGCTGGTGTTTGTTAGACGGTAGTGTATTAAAGTACTGGAATTATCCTCAAGACAGTGACTTTAGTGAACCGGTTAATACCATTGATCTGAGCTACTGTGTTATTTCTTCTATTTCGAGAGCCAATCGCGAATTATGCGCCAGGCCTCGGACACTAGTCATAGAAACTGGACGACCATCAAATTCTGATGCAACCCCTTACACCATAACGAGGCATTATCTATCTGCAGATAGCGTTGAAGAGATGGAAACGTGGGAAAGACTTTTAAATTACGTTTTATCGTCCCTTAGAAACTGGAATTGCATGAATTTCCAGTTGAACTGTAAAAGTGAAATGTTTTAGCAAGTTTTATTGGACCATGCGACGTATGACGACACATGTTTTTTAAAAGTTTTTATTAAAGAATATATTTTACATGTTAAAAACTTGCATTATGCGGTAGACTTTCTGTTACTTCTTCTTCATTGTCTTTTCTTTCTTTCCATTTCTCTTATTCTTTGTTAAACACAGGTGAAGTTTATAGACTGACAACCCTACAACAGTGATTGAGTTAATTCCATATGGTATCGATGAAAAGCTGCATCATACAACAATAAATTGAGGAGAGCAACATACAGAGCAGGTACGTGTAATGAATAAAAAGTGTGATGGTCACGTATGATTTTTATGTGCTTACCTATGACTGCTACAACAATTGCAAAACAAATTATGCAATACGCATATCCATAAATCTGGGACATGCGAAACGTTCTATGCTCAGACATATTTTATATACTTACACCCATCCACCCAAAATTTGTAAAGTAAAATGATCCAAATTTCAATCATTGCTACTAATAGCTAAATTGTTTAGTCATTGCCAGTGTTTGTTCCGTACTTTTTACAGTTGAAATTACACATAATGACCGTCCTTTGTCATACTAACCTTTACAACAAACATAAATTGTACAATGTTTACTGAAGCACGGATTTTGAGTGGAGTGGAGCTTGTTCATTAACTTCCAAAATATATTGCTACTATAGAGAGCATTTTTAAAACTCTAGAAGTATTTCGATGTTCCAGTTATGTTTTCTAATAAAACCTCGTACGTGTTTCCATGGAAATTAACTGTGCGATAAGTTTAATGGTAAGAAAAAGGACTGGCCCTAACATTAGCTTGATTTTAGGAAAATTAATTGTCTCTGAAATATTCGCTTTGGAAGGGCCGTCTCTGGACAATTCGTTCCCTGAAGTTTCTTTTTGCAAGGAAAAGAAAATCGACTTGAAATAACTGCTATGTATAGTATTGCCAAATAAATTTACTCTGAAAACTTTTTCCTGTAGGATTTTGCCTCGTCCGCTCGGGGAAGCTCGAGAAATTGCCATTACGAGATTAGTGCTAGAATTGTCGTCCCTGGAATATTGGAAAATTTACGGTAAAGTAATTACTTACAATTAATTTACCACTGTATACGTCGCAATTGTTTTAAGCACCAAGAATCTGATGTGACGAGGGCTCCAAGGCTTGTGCATTTTCGGGCCCCTCTCTCCTGACGTACGAAAAGGGTTTCCCTCCGAGATACAGGGCGTCTATACTGCTGCCGCCCTCCTCTCACAATCGCTCTCCTCATTCGAGACGAAATCGAGGTTAGTGAAGGGAACTTACGATCCTCTAGACGAGAGGCACAATAAAGAACTCTAAGATCCTAATGAGAGTCTTTGAAAATCATGAGATTATTTTGAGGGGTTACTTAATTCCAAACTATCCAAAAACTTGAGAGGTTCAAAATATTGTAAGGCACTTTTAAGACAAGTTTGGATATACATTTTGGAATTTTTCTCTGAGAAAAGTAAAGCGGAATTGTTAAAGAATTATCGCAGTTTTAAAATACGTCTCCCCGATGAACATATGATTTTGAGTAAAAGTTGGAAACAAACTGGTCAACTGTAGTGATCATGAACTCGTGGGTATTATTCCCATTCATCGTCATCATGAAGTCAAAAGTGAACACTTTTGTTTTGAGAAAGAGTGTGGGATTGATTAACAACGACCTTTAGAACCGTCTAGGATTGGTATAAAAAAATACATTAACCAATAAAAAAGTTAGACAACGCCATTTTGAAGATAATTCGCCATTGAGATGAAGTCTCTCAGCCATTGAAGAGAGATCTCTAATCACTTCATTAAAAAAGAGATTACGTGCTACAACAACTTCTCAGAGAAGAGGGAGGGGGAGTTTTTGAGACACCAAAACTTAAAGGCGGTCTGGCAAGGTATGAGTATTTGTCAATGGTATGAGGTACTTTTACTGCAAACTCATTTCACTTTGCGGTTACTTTATTGTCTTGTAGAGTTTTTGTTAAAAGGAGTTAAGCGAATTAACGACGTTGAGATTTAAAAAAGGTGATTCGATTTTTAAGCAAATGACCTCAAAACGCCCATTGAACAATGACAGGTGTTTTTATTTAATAACATGTTACTTTTCGATTAGAAGGTATTCGTGACGAAAAGGTAGATCGCGCCGACGCTGATACGTGTTATCGCTTCACCCAACAATTTTCCGCGCAGTAATCGGCGACAATTGAAGCGGGTACGGTGTCATTTCAATAGTGGTAAACGGAACGAATGGTAATGGTTCAACCCTTAGAGCGACTGATAAGGCTAAGGGTGAGTTTTCATTTTTTGTTTCAATATAGAATGCATGCTAACTCACTAAAACTCAAAAATCACTTCTCTGCCGAATGGAAAACGAAAATTGTGATAACAAACGAAAATCCTTTAGGTATTTAAATGGATTTGGTGTTGTTTTTTAATGCGGGTTCTTAATGCCCTGATTGTAGCACCGTGAGCCATTTCTAAATTCTAACGTGTTACAATTTTGATTTCTCATGAGATGACGCGATAACCCAAAAAAGGTAATTATCAGAAAACAATGTATATTAACTTTGGGAATACGGCTGTCCACAAGTAATAGGTATTCGAAACACAAATACTTAAAACAAAGATTAGAAACTTTTAAGGATCTTTTGAACTGAATATTTAAAAAAAATCAAAAAATAGATTACCGAGGTACCTTTTGGCATAGATTATTCTGACCAAATAGGTAATATTGCAGAACAATATACGATGTGTGTGACTAATATTCTATACTTCACATAATACATACATAGTATATAGGTATAACTTACGTGTTGTGTACCTTATGTATACAGTGATATTCATGTAGAAGTAGACATAGGGATTTCCCATGTCTACTTTTACATGATAAAAAGCCTCCTGAAAGACGCCTAATTTTATGCAACCAAAATAACTTATTGAAACAAATAAAAATCTGGCTGTCATATTAATTACTAATTTGAATATTGTTGCTTTATCTTCACCGAAAATAAATCTCTTAATCTACTTTAACTGTTATCGGCACCAATTGGAAATATCAACTTTTTTTAGTTGAATACATCGCACACGAACCGAAATTAGATAATATGGAAGTCAAAGGGATAATATTCAAATTAATTAATATGACAGGCAGATCCTCATTTCTTGTAGGTAGTTACTTTGGTTGCATAAAATTAGGCGTCTTTCAGGAGATTTTTTATCATGTAAAAGTAGGCATAGGAAATCCCTATGTCTACTTCTACATGAATGTCACTGTATATTTGTGACTATTCAATTCATCTAACATTTGTCACATTTCGACCAGTGAAATGTCGAGATTTCAAATTGTTGAGCCAATGGGAACGAATTATAGTGATAATTTCACGTGTAGTATTTCAGCGATAATTTCACGTGTGGTATTTCAGCGACAATTCAACTCATGTATAAAAAATCGCATAAGCCGCAGTGAAATTGTCACTTTGACAGCGGCAAAAGTTACCTGCAACTTTTACAGCGACAAATGCACTAGTGGTTTTTTCACTTATTCATTTTGGAACAATTATCGCATTATCCTTTCCCATATGATTAGCTTGACGTCTGTCAATAATTGACTAGTTTGGTGAATTTCTTGTTCGTTAAATTGTCCTGCCGAATTACACTCGAGGTTTGTATTTAAACCGAGTAAATTTGGGTTGTTGCAATTCAAATCTGTTTCCTTTTAGCAATTGAACTCGAAAAACTGTCAACCTAAAAATGCTCCACCTTCGGTGTCGCATTTTTATTAGTTACAGTTTTTCTCGTCTAATTGCTAGGCAACAGATTTTCATTACCTTAACAACCCAAATTTACTCGGTAAAATACAAACCTCTTGTGCAATTATAAGTGATAATTTCACGTGTGGTATTTCAGCGACAATTCAATGACATTTGTCAAACTTCCACCAGTGAAATGTCGCGAAATTTTGTCGTATTAACCGGAACATTCTTCTTAGTTTGTTAATCAATTTCGACAACCGACTTATCACCACATCTTTTAATTTAATCACTCATAACGAATTAGCTTGGAGCACAAAAGTTCGAATAGAATCAATAGCAAAATGAAAAGCAACTTCCATAATTTATTTTGACATTTATTGTTGTCATGGAAATACATTCCGTGGGTAATTATGCTTAATTTTTCTTTTGATTCATTGAATAGTCCTCCGAATACCATTCGTAGTCGAAGTATTTGTAGATTATTTTTGAGCTGCTGCTCCACTCATGCTAGTTACGCTTTTTAATACCACTCGCGCAAGCGCTCGTGGTATTAATCAGCGTAACTAGCATTCGTGACAGCACCTCAAAAATATTCGACAATACTTCGACTACTTATGGTATTATATATGAATATACAACATATGTATGTTTGAATATTAATAATAAATATGGCTAGAATATTCTAATATGCAATGATGTTCCACAGCAGCCAGATCTGTATTTGTTTTAAGAAGTTCCTTTGGTTGTATAAAATTAGGCGCCCCTCGGTGAGATTTAGTCATTTAAAAGTAGACATGAGGATAAACAATATCCGTAAATTTTTATTCGGCGTGTACAAATATATAACTTTATGAGGTGATGTGTTTCTTATAAAAGTAAGCTAGAAGCCCATTGATTGTTAATGTGGAAATGCATTTTTTGTAAATCGTTTACGGTTATACCTTTTGACTTTGGTATCTCTTTTCAGAAGTAAATAATAGCAAACTGTAATTTTGTCAGACTGCTGTAGTAAACGGTCAAAATTTACTACACATTTTTTTGGGGGGAGCTCAGTCTCCTCGACGTTATGTTTGGAGGAGCTTAAGCCAAATTGTAATAATAATTTGGTATTCAATGAATGATGAAAAGCACATTTTGGTACATAGTTTGAGCTCTTGATTAATTTTGAAAAAAAACGCTTGTTTTGGACCCCTCTCCCTATTTGTTTTTTTTGCATACTTACCTTTTACCTGTTAAATACTTTACTATTAAAATTATTGATTAATCAATAATGGTTATGGTGGTATCTTGATCTTCCTCTATACAAAGCGCGGACAGCTCATAGGACACAGGCCAAGCCCAAACGTCCAATATGGTTAAAATGCTTAGGTAAGGTTAAATCTAATTATAATACGAATTCCTGCTTCTTATTGCAAAATTAATGCGACTGCAGACAATAAAACATTTAATGAAAAACTTATTTGAACATTTACAAAATGGAATGCAAAGATAACAGACTTCATTTTAAACTCCTACAAGAATTGGGAATGACACAAAATAACAGCGCCTATTATATAACCTGAAGTTAACAGTATAAACCTATTTAGTTTTTGTAGGAGACTGGCAATGAACAGAAATAGAAGTAAATGAATCACTTCTTCTTCTTCATTTGTTTTTGTTTCCTCTTCTCATCCCTTTTTCGCTCCTTTTCTGTTAAAGATCGATACAGTTTATATCCAAAGAATACTGCAACAAAAATTAGTGTTAATCATATTGTCAATTGCTAGCAATAAATTTGGCTATTCATACCCAAAACTACTGTTATTAAAGAAAGGCAAACTATAAAGGATATATATGCATAAAAGTACTGCGGAGCAGGTGCTGATGGCTCATCGAAGTCACTCTCGTCAACTTGAAGACCCATACTCTTTAACTGTTCTATTTGTTCTTCACGAGTCATACTCCTAAGTTTCTGGGCCAGTTCTTCAATTTTACTTAGCCTTGGATCATCGCCGTTTTCTTCCATATTTTTTAATTTTTCAAGCAATTAACACGTGCGAATTGTGTAACCAACTGATATAAAATACTCAATCCGTGTCAAATATTCTCAAGTGCATAATCTGATAATGATAGTTTGAAGTAGGTACAAAAAATACAGGGTGTTTGCGATACAAATCGAACCATAACTGACCTATGAATAAAACAAAACAAAAATCTTACCGAAAAGTGTTATTACAACTATAAACGCCACAATAAGGGTGAGGGTCATAGTGATATTTCCATCAGGTAAAATATCTAAGCCTGGCTTCATAAATGCACTCATTTTCTCCGTCCTCTCGCCGAAGGCGCTTTTCATTTGTTGCCTTTCTTCATCGGTTAATTCCAATTTATTCAAAAGTTCAGAAAGTTGCTCTAACGCCTCGAGTGGAGATTTTCCTTCGGAACTCAAACTTTCCTTGATTTTATTTAATGCATCCATGCCTTCTTTGCCGTCCATTTTAGTTATCAGCACTGCTACTTGTCAGGAACACGTTGCAAGAGTGAGACTTGGCCAACTCAGCATATATACTCATAGAGGACAAAGGCTATCTATGTTTTCTGTTACGTAATTTAAACAGCTTATCAGGAAAAAGAAAGAATGTAGTAATTTCATTATCGTTTGAATTGCAGGGGCAACCGAATTTTAGGATTAGATTTCCATATGGTTTATAATTAACGTATTGTTCTACCATAACGTAATCTAAATGTTTTCAATGTTATCGCTTTCTTACCTGATAGTGTTACGATTATTATAGCAGGTACAATGAAGACTGAATTTGAGAAACCATGCTCAATTGGACCATCCTGCCCTCCACTTAAATCCACCATGATTTTTTGGTTAATTTCTCGCACTGTAAATTGTTAATAATGCGAAAGGCTTGTCACAGAACTGCACTGTTTTGTTTTTTAAGGGCTTTATTTAAATTTGTTGACATAATTGTTGTTATTGTGACATTCTTCAGGGATGTTCCTCCTGTCAGGTCAAATGTCAAATGGTGGCAGTGGAGGTGGCTACCAATGTGCCTAATATTTTCACCAGTAAAGTGTGTTCCAACAAATATATACAAAGCCTTTCACTCAAAAGTGCTCTTAATTATCTTGGTTTTGTCTCAAGTTCTTCTTAAGTTCTCCCTAAGCATTCTTTAAAGTTCTCATAACTTAAGTGTCAATTACTTATCAAGTTCCTATCAAATTCTCTTCAAAGTCATCCTGACGTTTTTAAGTTCCCTCCCTTGTGTTCCCTCAAACTTTGCTCAATCTCTTGTTAAGTGTCTTTATAAGTTCTCTTCTTACCTTACTCTGAGGTTTACAAATTTCTCTCAATACCCCTTGGCTTGGCACCAAGTTTCTCTCCAATTCTCTTTAATTTTAGGTCAAATTTCTCTCAAGTTTTCATCCAGTTTCCTATTTCTTCCCTTCCCTTTTCCTTCAACTTCCCCTTTTGGCTCTCCCTCACAATCTTCTCAATTTCCTGTCAAATCACCAATCCCCCTTTCAATTCATCGAACCTCTCCTCAAGGCTCTATCGAATGCTTCGCCGCGTCCTCCAAATGTTAAAAATTACTCCAGGCCCGTAACTAGCCAAGGGGTGGCCAGGTGGGGTTGAGTCTCACAAAATACACACAAATTACAATTAGACTCTAGCAAACAAAATATGAAACAATGAAACAACTACCTATGTTTGAAGTACCTCAAAAATTGTAAAAAGTAATTAGTTTTTGTAAAAAAATTTAACATTTTTAAAAGGGGTGGCTTCTGGACGCTGTAAACAAAATCAAGCATAATGATAACCAGAATTTTTTGATGAACTACAAACATATTGCAATAGTACTCGCAAGTCACAATTTGATACACTTGCACAACTGGAATTCCCGCTCCGCCCGATACGTTCAAACAAATTAAAACATTTTATTAATTATGCATTTCTAAGAAATCCGAAAAATACGGGTTGGGTGTCAAAATTCAAGTTAATTAAGAGCGCTCCATTTGAGATAAGGATCAGCTCAATCGGACGGGTTTCTGCAACTCATTTATTTAGCTCATTCACTTAATTTGCTGTATTCAAATTTCCAGAATCCGATTAATACCCATTGTTAATTGTGTCGAAATCAACCGGCGGGGTCGGCGTTACCATAGGAAACAACACCTGCAAACAATGGTTTATCCTCTTTGAAATTCTAAAATATCAATTTGCTCTCTTCTTCTAAGGGCCGGTTTTACATTTACACTTTAACAGAGAATAAGATATTCTTGGAATAACTGCCATAGCAACATGTATTCACACAATGGTAACCAACGCAACCGTCGACATTTATTCTAGGTATAGCTTATTCTCAGTATAACTCTCGCCAGGAAAGATTGCCGGTCACAGCACACCTTGTGTCGATTTACAATCTTTGTTTTTATTAAGATGCGAGCGACTTCTGGAATAGGATCGTGCTAATGTTGAACAAAAAGTCTTTTCGTTCAACACTGACACGATACTATTCGGGAAGTCACTAGCACCTTACGAAAAACAGAGATTGTAGATCGGGATCAAGTGTTCTGTGACCGGCAATCTTTCCTGGCGAGAGTTATATACACCTTCATTGTAGAATTGGCCCTAAAAGAGCTTTTGGCAAAACTGACTGAACTGTCTGGACGAGAACGGTTACAAACGGCGGGCGGATTAATTTCAGCGTTAGTTACTGTAATGCCGACTGAAATACAACACAATCAAATCAATTACTCTACTTCTGTTTTCAACTCTTAGACCCAACCAGCTAATGCTGAATTGACAAATGACACCTACATGGGGGCAGCCATGATGTGCACTCACTTGGCGCGAAATTCAAATCAACTAATAAACAAGCATTAACCTCACGTTTTCTAAATAAATTACTGTGGCACATGCCATTTTCCAAGGCTGCAATAGCCTCAAAACTTGAGAACTAGGAAAATTCCCCTAGAAAATAACTAAAACGTGCACATCATGGCCGCGCCCATGCTAGGGCCATTTTTACGTCTATGCAACTGATTGGTCAGCAGTCCATCTTAATTTATAAGTTCGTGGACCGAACACAAATACTTTCGGCACTACAACACCTACTGACTATACGTAACGAAGCGGCTAACTTAGGACGTTTCTAGATACCGGGTGTTTAGCAGAGACGGTCGCTTCTACAAATATACGGTGTGGTCATAACTGCGGGTATGAACTTCACGGCGGACAAGGGTACTTTGTTACAATACCTATATTGGTCTACTTATGTTTGCAATATTAAACACTTTAGAAGAACATTTAAAATTATATTTAAGGGGTAAAATCTTTGCATCGAAACTTTCTAGATGGTCTTCTAATGTTCGAAAGAGTTATGGAAGCCCATACAGTGCTCTAGGAAACTTTTTTTCTTTCCAAAGTCTTCAATGACTTTCCAGAACGATTGAAAAGTCGATCGAACTTATCTTTTGCTCTGCAAGGGATCTTAGGAACTTTTCTAGAAAGTTTCACAAAGGAATTGGAATGCTTTGGATATGTATTTAAATGCTCTCGAAACCAATCAAAGAATTTTCCTTTAATAGCGTTGCAACGTCTTTCTAGAACTATATCGAGACTTTTTCCAGAATACGTAGATGATGGAAGTGATTGGAAAGCTTTTGAATACTCTAGAAAACATTTAAAAAGCAAATTAATGCGTTTAGTAGTCACTAGAACATTCTAGCGCTTGTCACATTGTCTTAATGAGCAGTTTTATCGTAGGTACTGCAAACATAAAATGCCAATCCGTGAAAATTTTTTGACATTCATCCATACATAGCTGAGATATCAGGGTGTTCCCAAATATGTACGATATAAATACAGAGGGGACTAATTATATTCTCTGGTTTATTTTATTACTAAATGCTTGGTTACTACAGGGTGTTAAAATTTCAAGTTTTTTTGAGATATTTTGCTCAAATTTGAAATATAAGTTAGCGAAAAAATAAAAATCAATTTTCTGTAGTTATCGATAACAAAGCGTTTGCGGACCTATGTTTATCCCTTCCGTATTTACATTACATTTAGGAACCCCCTGTATATTTAATTATTAAAGTCCGAAATTATTGAAATGCTCTTTCTGAACTTTTCAACCTCTTTTCTAAGCTGGGAGAGGGAAAAATATACAGCGCTCAGGAAAGACCTAGAGAGTTCTGTAAAAAACTTAAAAACCGTTTGAAAACACCAAAAAGCCGTGTCAAGGGCCTGCAATGTTCTGGAAAAACGCTATAATGTTCTGGGATTGCTTTAGCACTGTCCACAATGACATCTTTCGTAGCTTTATAGAGATTTTACAAAGCATTTTAGCTCACAGCGTTGTGTATAGGTTCTGGCGAGATCTTTCTTGTCACTATCGTAATTTTTTTTATCCTTTCAACAACTTTTCTGGCCCTTTCCTGAGCTTTGTAGGTTTTTCTAGGGCTCCAGACTTGCATTTGATTCTTAACAGATACATAAAATATGAAAATGATTTATGGTGGGTTTATACAATCATTACTATCATTAGATCTTTAGGAAATAGCCAATAGAGTGATAGAGTCAAAGGTTTATTCTGAGTCACTATCCAAGGAAACCATATCTTTTGTTTCTATTGGCTATTTCTCAATGATAGTGAACTAATGATGATTGTACACCTATAAACCCCCCCATTACTTTTCCCAGGAAGTGATTTCAAAAACACCAGTATGGGCCTACATAATAGTCGCTGTAACGCATTATTTAACTCTGGAAAGCATCAAAAGTCTTCTACTTCTTTTCAAAACTATCGAAATGGCTTCTAGTTCTTTCCAGTGCTTTACTTGGTATATACTCATCGAAATGTAATGTATCTGCCCCATCCAGTAAGGTAATTGGAAAAAACTATACGTCATGCAATTAATGGAACGCGATTCTGATACTATCAAAGACTTATGGGTAGTTCTGGTATTTATTAATAACACCAAAAAAATCACAGCTCTTCCTTGTCTTTATTTTCAACAAATCCGTAATTGCTTAGTATCTTACTAAACTCATTAATGTTGTTTTTGTGATCTTGTCGTTCAATATCTAAACGGGTCTGTAACACTTTAATGGTTTCTTCCGCCAGCTGAAGTTTATCATCGCTAACCGTGCCCAAGGAGGACAAGCTAGATTTTGAACTGTACACGCTCATCTTCTCGCAGTTCTTCTCCAGTTGTAAGCGTGCTACTCTCGCCTCCAGCTTGGCCACCTTTTGCTTCTCAGCCAAATATTTCATTCGAACCTCGGATTGTGCATTGCGTTCCAGATCTAATTTGTCGTTGGTGATCTTCATCAGCTCTAACAAACGTAACCTTTCAGTCTCCAAGTACTGCATGCTGACTTCCTTAGAAGGATTTACCTAACACGACACACACGTGAACGAGCGACTACATTTGAAAATACGCACCTTCTGATGGTCGAGCGGGTGGTTCTTACATCTAGACCGAAGAGTCGTAATTTCCCGTCTTTGTTCATCAATCTGCACGTTTAGATTATTCACTTTACATTCTTGTTTCGCGGCTTCCAGGTGCAAGGATTTATTTTTCATCTCCAACTCCTGAATGATCAATTGCTTCTGGCGCAAAGCTTCATTCTGTATCTCCTGCGCGTGGGTTACTCTAGCCTAAAATCATCAGTAACGCAAGATGAAAAATTTGTACTTGTACTATACAGTCAATGAGGTGATCATGTCCCGATCGTGTTCATTTTGTTCGGTAATGGCCGAACATTTCGCCCGAAGTGCGGAGCTTTCCGACTCGATGACCTTGTTCCTGGCCCGAGCAGCGTCGAGTCTTCTTTTAAGGTCGTGCACTGTATTTTGAAGCGCGTAGTTTTCTTGAGTGAGACTTGCCAATTTCTTATCCCACTTTGTTACAGAATTGGAGTTTTCCACAAGAGGAATGCTGCCTAGAACGCCTGGTTGTTATACGAATTTGCCTCGAAGGTTACCTTTTTCTTTATCTTCATAGGATTTCAGTTTCTCTTTAAGCTCGCTGTTTTTCTGCTGCAAATCGCAAATGAGCTGGGCACGTCCACGCCAGTTACCATTGGAGTTTGTTATAATCTGCAAATTCTCAAACGTCTCCCCAACTTCCTGTTGTAACAACTTGTTGGCAATTTTCATGTTCGCCTTTAACTGAGAATTTGAATTTCTAGTTTCGCAAAGCTTCGAGTTGGAATTATTCAGCTTCTCTTGTAAGATTTTGATTTGTTCTTCGAGTTCGTTTTTGAGTTTTTCCGGAACTGGACCTAAACTAACATAATCAAGCGTCCTCAAAAATTCGCTCACCACCATCAGTTTCTTTTTCTGCGCATGTGTTTTGTTGCAATTCGTTGATGTATTGTTGCGACTTTGATAACTTGGTTTTGTAAGTTTCCAATTCAGAATTCCGTTCCCGTAATTGCTTACTAAGCTCTACTATTTTAGCGGATGCTAAATGACTGACGTACAGTGGATTATCTTTAGTCGGTTCGTTCTGGCTCTTTTCCAATTCCTCAGAGAGGAGACTTACCTTACTAGTGCTCTCTTTTAACTGCAGCTCCAAGTCAGATACATTTTTGTATAGCATGCCGTTTTCGTGTGTTAAGTACTACAATTGTAAAGAATAACTGCCGGAATATGAAGTGAATATTACTTGAACTTTGTCGCGAAGGTACTTGTTTAGATCATCGGGAAAAATGATATCTTTGGGAATGTCGGGAATGTTTATGTCCGCTAACCCTAAGTCATCACTAACCATCATCGTGTTCTTTCTTTTATTGGACATTGTGCGTATTCAGCGCAAATTAGTTACTTTTGACAGTTAGCTACCAGATTTTATATAAATTACAATTAATACAGTAGACCAAGGGCCAGTGACCAATTTTAGGTTGTCATTTCAAAAGTCATGAGAATTAAAAGTCACCTCTGGCAGCAGTAGCAGCCCTCTTTACATCAAACTTGTAGGAACGGGATGATTTATGGCGTGTGTGGGCAACCAGAAGCAATCGATCACAAACATTTAATTTTGGGGGCCAAAATCTAAAGGAAAGGTTCAATTTCAAACAACAATTGTACCATGACTACCACCACTTTATTGGAGCTTGCTTTTGCATGCGTTGGCCCTTGGTTGACTTACTTCTAATAAATATGCAATGATAATGAATACCTACTATTCTGTTAATTGGATTGCAGTATCAATATCTTTAATTTAAATAATTCTTACAGAATCACCACTGACATGTAATTTCTTCAACTTCAGCGGCTGGCAAAATAAAATAGTGCAACAAAACAAGGTACCTACTTAAAACAACAGTTCATTGAACCAGCTAGAGAAAAATTTATTGCTAAACTAAACCAAATTAAAGTTTCGTTTCAATAATTAAAAATTTTCAAAAGGTCCCTAGAGTGACCCGAATCTATACCAGTTGATTATTACCGTTGGCACTTTTAAGTAATGGGATTTTAACAAGTGGGATTTTGCACCGATGCAAAGCATTTGACAGTACAATTTTTGACAGCCGAAATGAAATGTATAAAGTAAAAAGCGAAGAAGGATGTTCTGCATTTTGTGGGATCCTGAAATAGTTACACATGGATGAATAACTTTTGCTGTAATTAAAGTGTCTTAAAGAAAGTTAGTTTAGTGTAAAATTAGCGGTTGTGTAAATAATAATTAGAAAAATGAATAAAAAGTGCGCTAGGTGCGAGAAAACCGTATACCCTACAGAGGAACTAAAGTGTCTCGATAAGGTAAATTGGCGATAATCGCTTTTTAAGTTGTTTTTGCGAACTTTCCGCATGTACCTTTCACGTTAATAATTATTTGATTTCTTGTGCCCTGCCCTAAAGTGACTAAAAAATGGTTAGTACTATTAACCTTTCTACAAACGTCGACCAAGTATTGTAAGCCAAGGTTATGATCTGATTATTTTAACTTCTTTAAAAGAAATTTTTCATGACTCACATTCAACCGCGACTTTAATTGCGGTTTCCTGAAAATGCCATATACATAATCAAGAACGGTTAAAATGGGGATGATACAGGATGCATCATAATACAAGTTAATTAACTTAATTCTTGTAATTTGTTATGACTCTGGTTATTGAACTGATGTTAATTGCTTGCCGGATTAGTAACATGTGCATCCCAGAAACCGGGGATCCAATTTCAAATTGTCTACCACTCCCGCCCTCGCGATTGTTCCTGTTTTATTTTTTAATCGCGCTCGTTTGTTTTCAGACATGGCACAAACCGTGTTTCAAATGCAAGGAGTGCGGAATGGCGCTTAATATGCGAAATTACAAAGGCTTTAATAAGGAACCGTATTGCGAAGCGTAAGTATCGATTGCAAAATTGTTTACAAACATTTTCAATATTAATAATCATTTTTTACAAGGTGATTTGTGCTTTGGTTGCTATTTATGTTTCGAAAGGGCACACCAAATTGAAGGATTTTTCGGGAAGAGTAATTTTTAGAATTGCTTGCTCGTGAAAACCAACTAAAATTGGAAGCAGAAGGGCTACACTTGTCGAATTGCTTCGAGTCGATTGTGGGTGAAAGGTTACACTTACATGTATTGTGGTTTGCCTAACTTTCTGGGTACATGATGCTCTTTTTTTGTACAGTTATCTTTTCAAAATGTTGAAATAGCACAAACCCAGACATGTTATGTTTGTGATTTGACGTTTCTGTAATTGTTCTTGACAATTTTCCGAATTAAAGATTATTATTATTATTAGAGTGAGGTGAGCCGTGACCAACGAACAAATATAGTAAGCCTAAGTCTTTGCAGGTCAAATGTGCATAATGCAAAAATATTTTTGTATGTACAGGGTGTCCCCTTTTTGCCACTTAGAGTACCTTTGTAAATGTTAGGGCTATCGAGAAAGTAATGCAGGTGTTATGTGCTCTTTTTGAGTCAGACTTTAAAACTTAAAATGGTAAAACCAAAATTTGAAGATATTCGATGTCTTAAGAGATAGGAGGAAACATGTTTATTACAGAAGTTTCTTTATAATGATTGTTAAATGGTCCGCCGCTTTCAAAATATGTATAATTGATCATGTAAACAGTTTTCAGACCTAACCTCATTTGTTTTAAATGGAACGCCCTGTATATTTTATTCTAAAAAGATAGTATATTAAGTTCTCTAATCAAAAACATAACTAAAAAAATTCAGTTTTGATTCAAGAAGGTTTTAAATAAATTTATTGAATCATTTGAACTTTGTTTTAAATTCTTTGTTTAACTTTTTCAATTTTTTTTTTGATTTATTTGAATCACCTGAATACTTTTTTAACATTTTCCTTAGTGTATCATATTTTTGAAGAGACAATTTAATATATAAACTTAGTTCATTGCCGTGCTTGCATTGTTGATTGTGCCACAGTGGAAAACATGTGATACAGTGTGATATCATATATAATATATACTGGCACACTTTCGGGTGTTGAAAAGAGCATCTTGAAAGGGGGGTATATGAGTTGTTTTGTCTATTACAAAAGTCATAAGTAGTCTCGCGAAACAGTTTCAGTCCAAACACGCTGTAGTTCAATAAATTATTATCGTCCATCAATTAATACACTACAAACCAAACATACCTTGACATCAGAAGAGCTGAAGCAGTTTTCATTCTTCATCTTCATCTCTTCGAATCTGCGAGAACGTCAGGCAGATTCATTTCCTCATTTTGAGCACACCCCTCATACGAAGCAATTTAACTGTACAGGTGACCACCTAGGATGTTGCGCTTTTATTTTATTATGCAGCTGAACTTGTAGACTTTGACGTTTTATTTTGAATATGAAAAAGGAGTTTAATGTGATCCATTGTTTTTTGGAATCAATCAATTTACTCAACTTTTAGTTACCAGACACAATCTTGAATACAACCAACCCTTCCATGTCAAGAAGTACATAAAAATGAGTTTTGATACTAATTGAACCCTAACTCAGATCCATGGGCGCGACTAACGATTAGAGGCAATTTCCAAAAAAACAAAGACGCCTTGATAAATAACGTGCAAAAATATCCGCGTGTTAATAATATTATAGTTGACCAGTTCGTTTTTCCAATTGTTACCAAAAAGCAAGATTCATCTGTGATCTGTGAGACGTATTCAAACTGCGATAATTTTTAGAAAAAGAATTCTGGGAAAAATTCAAAAATTTAATTTCAAAACTACAAACTTCTGATTTCAAAACTTATACGCCCGATCAAACAGAATAATAAAAGGGACGAATTGTCCGCTTTTTTAAACAACTGGATGGTGAAACTTCTTAGACTTTAATCATGTTTATATAAAACGAATCTTCTCTAGACTGTTGACTCTCTACATACGAATTTTTCTGAACTTTATTCTGTTGACAAACAAAACGCGAATCTCTTAATGTAGTGCATCCTCTCTCTGAAGTAAATTTTTTAACGCCCAACAATGGCGGCGGTCTTTAATTAATGTCCATTGGCTAGTCATTTTCTTTCCACCACTGTGACTGGCTTTAAAATTTTACGTGTCTCACAGAGCTTTATTGAATTTGCTGAATCGTAGAAGTAACAAAAGACGACTAATTTACAGAGTGTAATTCAAAACCATAGCTAGACAATGAGGGTATAACTAATGATCTAGAACAATTAACCCATTGATAACTGTGGAAAGATGATGAACGTTCACCCTTAGTATAATAAATAAAAACTTGAAACTACCATTTCTTTGGGGGAATGTTTTTAGTAATTCGGCGGGGGAAAAATCGCAATAAAATGTTTTCGTTACATAATAAAAAAAAGTATATCTGCAGAGAGAATGCTTTGGCAAATGGGCGATTCTCTATACACTCTACCACTCGCTCTACCAGCATTCCGTTTCATATGACTAATGTTACGGACAGGGTAATTTTAGTTGGAAGAAAAATCAAAAAAGTAAAAGGAAGGTTTTTCAGGTCAAAGATAGCTATTCCATATTTATTTCTAAATCATCTTAATATACAGGGTGAAAATGTTGTCTGTAACACTTTATGGTATCCATCCATGGTATGAAATTAACGAGGAAATTAATTAACAAACTATTTTCCTTAATTTGAGTTTTTCTCTTTAATTTGATTATAAGTTTTTTATGCTTCTATATCCAAAAAAAGTACATGGATTGCTAGGAAAATTGTTTATAATTTTGGATACCATAAAAAGCTTCTTAAAAAATTTTGTTTTGAAGATATATTCTATTATTAATTATTTTTTGGTCTTTATTTTTAAGTGGGCGGGGCTTCAGCCAACCCAATCCCCCTATACATTTACAAATGTTTGTGCCCGAACCCGGATTTGAACCAGGGACCCTTAGTGCGTCAGTCGGGCTTCCGCGCCACACGGGCCGGCTGTGTTCAAGACAAAATTTTCACCTTGTATTTAGCTGTAATAAAAGTATACAGTGTGTCCCAGATCGCGTGGGATTGCATGGGTAACTTTGTTATTATTAAAGATAGAGAATTGGTTAAATGGGCAATGTTTTGCAGTTTTAGATGGTTATTTAAAATTTGTATATGGAAATTCAAAATGTCGCATAGGTTCGACGTAAATTCAAAAAAACTAAAATTGGTCATTCCCTTAAATGTCTTATATCATCGAAAGTATAAGAGATATAAAAAAAAGTTTTATATAAAAGTGACTGTCTTTGATACGCTTAATTTAGAATTGATGTCAAAAAAATTCAAGATGGCTACTTTTGAGGAACATTTACCAACTTCCTAAACTTAAATAGGCGCTATATGCGGTTTTTAGATTACTTGATAGATTTTTTAATTTTCTTTTCAACGAGCTGTTTTAACATAAGATTGAAAATAAGATACCAGTTATATTAACGGTTTTTGTATTTTAATCAAGTAGTCTGAGACGAATAAAAAAAAACAATGAAAATAATTACATCAGATGTTTAAAAAATCAGGGGTGCACTCATGAGAGGGGGGTTTGGGCATTACAACTCCCTCCAAAATTTTATATAAGTAGGCCTAGAAAAATTTTGATTTTTATATCATCACTTATTGACTATCTTATTATCCATACTTACATACCTACAAATGGTGGTATAAAGAGAATTAAAAAATCTATCAAGTAATCTAAAAATCCAATATGGCGCCCATTTAACTTTAGGAAGTTTGTAAATGTTACTCAAAAGTGGCCATCTTGAATTTTTTTTTGACATCAATTCTAAATTAAGCGTATCAAAGACAGAAATGACCAATTTTAGTTTTTTTGAATTTACGTCGAACCTATGCGACATTTTGAAGTTCCATAAGGAAATTTTAAATAAGCATCCAAAACTGCAAAACGTTGCCCATTTAACCAATTCTCTATCTTTAATAATAAGAAAGTTACCCATGCAATCCCACGCGATCTGGGACACACTGTATACTATATACAGTGTAATAAATCATGTAATAAGTAAGGTTTTTGAGAAATGGCATGTGCTTAATTGAATACAATGCTTTAGATGTTTACTCAAGTGTAATTGGTAAACAAAGTGATAGTTAAATGGTGAGCCAATGCAAAAATCTCTTCTTTGTGGTGTGTTCTTGTAAAAAATACCCAGTTAATGTAGCAGGGTCTCAACGTGTCACTTAATTGTATGTTTGTTTTTTGTACAGTCATATACCAAAAGCAAAAGCTACAACTATGGCGGAGACTCCTGAATTAAAGCGTATAGCAGAAAACACGAAACTCCAATCCAATGTAAAGTATCACGAAGACTTTGAGAAGAGCAAAGGGAAATTTACACAAGTCGCCGACGACCCGGAAACGTTACGTATCAAGCAAAACAGCAAGATAATCAGTAACGTCGCGTACCACGGCGAATTGCAAAAGAAAGCCGTCATGGAACAGAAACGGACGATCAACGAAAACGGGTATAAAACTACGTCGACCGATCAGGTGAACGCCAATTCCACGCCGCCGCCAATTGTGAACCCGATCGATCCGATCCCGCCGCCAATCGCCCACTCTCAGGTCGGAAAAATAGCGGACTACGAACCGACGGTTGGCGCCAGTCCGTACTCCGCCGGCCGAAATACTCAAACAGTAATTTATACGTCGGACCGAGGACCCGTGACCAACCCGCCGCAGAGACACATAGGCTCGGTGCACGACATAGATCCACTGAACCACAATTACGGATCGTTGGGGCGCGTTTATAGGGCCATGTACGACTACGAAGCTCAAGACGACGATGAGGTTAGTTTTCTCGACGGCGATTTAATAATAAATGTCAGCAGTATCGACGGTGGATGGATGACCGGTGAAGTACAACGTACCGGACAAATTGGAATGTTACCCGCAAATTATGTACAGGTCGCCAACATATAAAATAACTCGCTTTCGCACAAATTTTTCATAAAATGGGGAAATTGTTTTTAATTCACTTACATCCATGAAATTATGATTTCTGGAGCATTACTTTTCGTAAATATTGTTAACGTTGACTTTTATTTTCAAGCGGACTTGATCAGTTTTTTTTATTTTTTAGAGAAACGGCCAGATGACGTTTCCATTTCATTTTTATTTTTTTTATACACGCTATTTTTTTATTATTCTGAATGGATAATATAAAACTCACTCTGTGATACAAATGATGATAGAAATAATAGGGGTATGCAGAATCTGGTCAGTTTCTCCACACGTCACACATCAACGATGACAATTTTAAACTGTAGTGTAATAATAATAGTAATAATCGTGGGATACATCTGACTGCTTATGCTTCAGGGTGCGCTGCACAAAATACATTCAATTTAATTTAAATGCACATTTTGTAAATTTTTTTTATTTTTGGTCTCATCTACAGTATTGTATAATGAAAATGTTGATAAAACATTCCAGTTAAGCATGTTTGTAAATTTCCTCTGAGGACCTCGGAAATGTAAATTTACTTTGATAGTTAGGTTCCTTTTGTATGTATTAGCGTTAAGTATAATGTTTGCAACCAGACGTGCATTTATATTATGTAATTCTCCATATCGCAACGAAGAGACTTCCTTTATCATATAGTGTACCTATGACAGAATCAAAATATTTACAGTTTTTACATATTTACATATGTATATAATTTTATAAATGAACTTTTTACTTGACAACCAAAAGTGCCTTCGTAGAAAGTGAGTCATAACGCACAGGCATCGGAATACAATATACATACTGCTTAATTGTTTATACTTTGTTACCTTTACATCACTAAAAAAATCATAAATGCAGTCATTTTTGGTTTTAAATTAACATATTAATATAATGTCATGTTTATTTAAAATTTATATTTAATAATTTACCATTGATTGTGCTAAATTTAAATATACAGTTAGTTAAAATGTTAAAGAAAACAAATAAATCATTATCTTTTAGTTTCTTGTTTTGCACTATGTTAAGGGTAGACCATCACTCATAGTTACAGTAGGAGTCGATAGGTTGACTGATTTAATTTACAGTGAAGAAATACTTGAGCGGCCAAGTCCCGATGTACATTCCAAAGAAGTCGATTTGTGAGAAGATGAAGAAAGGATTTGAGGTATGTAACATTTTTAATTTAAAAGAACAGCGGTAACAAACAAGCCCATATCTCTTGATGAAAAAAATTTTTTTGACCTAATGCACAATCCAAAATTAATATACTGTGGTATATGTCCATGACAATTTGGAGTTATTTTCTATATAACAAGAAGAGGGCTCCCATCAATTTTCATTCAACAAGATAATAATAATACTGTTTATTATTACCTCAATTGCAAGTTTTGGCGATAAAGAAATTACATTTTATGTATTGAACAATTGAGGTAGTAAGTTTTTAGTTCCTTTCAAACGTTCCGGTAGCTTATTGTAATCTTTGTTTGTAGCAATATTGTAGGAGAACGACTTTATACTGTGATGTCTTATGGAGCGGTATGGTAGGAAAGATTTTTTTCCCTAATATGAATATTATGAACGTCTGGTCTAAAGGAAATATTTTCGAACAGATATGGCGGTTTATGCGTGATCAATATGGGATGTTTTCTTTGGTTTTCCATGTTCAGACATTTTCATTTATTGAGAGTGTGTGATATCCGTTCATATTTACGTAAGTATTTCAAACATAAAACGTAAAACAGCTATTTTGGACGTTTTGAGTGTTATAACTGGTTTGTTTAGTTATGCATGATCCATAAACGGCATAACAGTAATTCAAAGGCCCCAGCGCTTTTGTGTTTTGTGGCACATGTCTATATATGAATATAAACGCCGCAAATTATTATATGATCAAATTTTGAGTTTACATGGGTTTGGAAATTTAATTGGTTGTCCAAGATGAATTACTACATTCGAGGGTTTCAAACTATCGCCTTTAAATTGGATAGATATTTTTCTTTCTGCAAGATATCGATTTGACTTTGTACCGAAAAATATCAATTTTGTTTATGGTATTCACATTGAAACAATATGGTCTTCTTTGTTAAGATAGTGCAACGGAACTGATTTCTTTAAGAAGGATTTAAAATATAATTGACAATCATCAGCATACATGTGAATACTACGCAGTTTTAAAAAGGACTAGGTATAGGGTATAGATCGGAAATAATAGTGACCTGAGTATTGATCCTTGAGGAACACCACAAGTTACTGCTGTCAGGCATTGAATAAAAAATTATTTTTTATTCAATGTGTCGGGATAGAGGGGACTCCATGTATGACCACTTTCTGATACCGATCAAAGAGGTAATTTTTAAATAAGTAATTGTATTGCATAATTACCAAAACCGATAAAGTGCAATATTTTTAAATGAAGACTATCACACGCCGTTGAGAAGTCTAGTATATGGCGTTTTCATCAGTATTTCGCATGATGTCATCAGTGATTTTTAATAGGGCTGTGATTTGTGATCCTAGAACACATTCCAATATTTTTGATGCAGTTGGAAGAATGGATCGGCCTTAAGTCCGAAAATGCCGTAGGAAGGTGAGTTTTAGGTAACCGTTTAACGTGGGATGTTTTCCAGCATGATATGGGAATACAGAATTGCGGATGAAAAAGTTTACAATTATGCGTTATAAAGAACACTTATATCCGGACACAAAACTAACATTTTAGCGTTAATTCCATCACACCCTGTGGCGTTTGTTTTGCAAACCGCGTGCATGCGAAAATTGACCCCCACAACTATTTTGAAAATGCGAACCCAGCTTAATCACTATCGAATGTATCATGTATGCTATGGGTAATGGTCTAAGTGGCAAGGAAACTCAGCTTGTAACCGGGCAGTTCGGGTTCGATTCTTGCATGAAGTTTTTTTCCTTTTTGAAAAGCAAAGTCGTACCTACTACAAAAATACTGTAGAGTTTTCCGAAGGGATAACGCGTCTGCTATTTACGAATACTCAGCCCGCGCAGGCAATTTTTAAAATTCCCGTCAAGAAAAAGTTCTGCTTGCGCTTGGTCACTTAATTGAATCCCCCTGTTCCCACCCCCTCAGGTCTCATAAGACCGAGAAACAATAGAGTCTATTGTTTCTAGAAGCCTATTGCCTATCTCCTTTTCGATTGCTTCCCTCCAAACACTACTTATGACAAAAATGGACTGCAAGTTGTCTGAAACAAATGGTTTCTATTAGGTACATACAAAGTATTTCTTAAAATTGCAAAAACGGTGCCTTTTACAGGAAATTGCACTTGCACAATTATACCTACTCATTTTCAAGGGCCGGTGAAAATGGAGTCAAGCCCCCTTTTTGCACAAGTAAAGTTTCTAGTCAACAACACGAACGCGGCCCATTTCAACGTTAAAGAAGAAATTGATTGTCCAGCAGGCTAATATGAGGATATGCTGATCTGTGAAAATTGTACCCTGGATCTTATCTTGATACATCCATACTCAAAATCAAAGATAATGAATAATTACAAATTGACAAGCTTTTTAATTTGTTTATAGAATACAACTACTTCAATTATTTAAAAAAAAAAAAAATTCACTCCTTGATACTTTATACAAAGTTTGTACAGAACACTTTTCAACACCTTCCCTCAAAATTTGCGCAACAATGTTCATCTCTTTCAGTTCATTAACACATCCCTAAACCGTTTAAATTTAAATGGCAATAATGGCTTAGTAAGTATGTCGGAAATTTGATATTAGATGGTGTATCAAATCAAATACACCTTCACTTAATTTTTCACAAATAAAGTAATACCGCACATCAATGTGTTTGCTGCGCTGATTAAACTTCCCATTTTTTATTAGTGCGATTGTGCTCGTGTTATCAATTTGAAATTTAATTTTTAAATTTTCGCCTATCAACTCTTCAAAAATAAAACTTCCTTCAGACCTTTAGCTTCACTTATGAATTCAGCTTCTGTAGATGAGAGTGCTACGATGGGTTGCCGTCTTGAACACCAGCTTATTGGTGTTCCATACATATCCAGTAGTAGGTACTACGTCTACTTTCTAGATCATTAGCATAATCGCTATCCGTGTAGGCGTGTACACTACCATCTCATTCAAATTATTTCCATTCTTTTTGAAGAACAAACCTAAATGTTTGGTTCCTTTCAAATATTTTATTGTACGTTTTTTACATCCGAGTCTGATGGATTTTCCAGGTATCGAGATTTCTTTCCAACTGATGTCCGGACGTGTTTTTGAACTGAGGTAGATCAGACTTCCTACTGCTTCACGATATGGGAAAATACCTTTTAAATTTCGATCAGTCTCATCTTTTGTCATGATTGGTATTTCCGAATCCTTAGCATTAGTCAAACCAAATTTTTCTGCTACTTGTTCGCAGAATAAAGACTGTGTTAAACGAATTCCATTCGTTTCTTGTGAAATTTCCATTCCTATGAATGGGTAGGTACAATTTTCACATGGTAGCACTGTAGCAGAGTCCAATTTTGTTGAGCCTCTTCGTCAAAGTTTGATTCCACAATAACGGTGATTGTCTTAATCCATATAAACTTCTCTGTAACTCTAACTTGTCTCTTGCGAAAAACAAAACCTATGGATTCTTGTAAAAACCGAAGAAGCGAAAGGCAGAAAAATTTTGAGTAGCAAATGGGTATTCAAAGAAAAAGAAAATGCAACCAGGAAAGCTAGACTAGTTGTAAGAGGTTTTCAACAAGAAAGAGGAATAGATTTTCAAGAAACATATAGTCCTGTGGTAAATATGACAAGTTTGCGAGTACTTCTTACGATAACGGCTGCTAAAGAATTTAAAATAAGAATCTTTGATGTAAAAACAGCGTTTCTTCATGGGGAACTGAAAGACGAAACATTCATGCAAATTCCGGAAGGTTATCCAAAGAAGGAAGGAATGATATGTAAGTTACAGAGAAGTTTATATGGGTTAAGACAATCACCGTTATTGTGGAATCAAACTTTGACGAAGAGGCTCAACAAAATTGGACTGAAACCACGCTCTGCTACCATGTGAAAATTGTACCCTGGATCTTATCTTGATACATCCATACTCAAAATCAAAGATAATGAATAATTACAAATTGACAAGCTTTTTAATTTGTTTATAGAATACAACTACTTCAATTATTAAAAAAAAAATTCACTCCCTGATACTTTATACAAAGTTTGTACAGAACACCAGTGGCGGACTGACCCGTGGGGGGGGGCGGGTGGCGGTTGCCACCTGGCCTGTAGATCATAATGGCCCGTTGGAAATTTATAAGTATGTGCTGTATTTAGTTTCTTGCACTATTAATAAATTATTAACACGTTTCTCTAATTGGGGTTGATATAAGGTTGTTAAAAAATTCTGTTTTAATTGAAGTGTTTTACAATGAATTTATCATTTTTTGTCGTAGCATGAAAGTGCTGAAATACAATGATAGGCGACGCATCTCGTGTGGATTGTATATTTTGTTACTTTTAATTATCAGCTGCAATTTAAAAAAAAAACTGTATGGTAATTTTCTATAAGAAACCTTTTTTTCCGAGTCGATCTGAGACAATTTTTTCTTTGGGGCTCAAAAAAAGACCTTCCTTTTTTACGAAAAATTGACTACACCAAAATTTCTCGGGAAAACACTTTTTCTTATTAATTTGGGTGCGTAGAATCCAAATCAATTCGTACTTTTTCGATCAGACTTCTCAATTAAAAGTTATAGGCTAGAAACCAATTTCGAAAAAAATTCAAAGGGCTGTAACTTTTGAACTAGTAGCCCAATCTTGGAACTGTTTGAAATTATGGATTCTACAGGCCACATTCTATAAGAAATTTTTTTCCGGGTCGATCTGAGACAATTTTTTTTTCGGGGCTCAAAAAAAGGCAGTGTATAACCTTCCTTTTTTACCAAAAATCGACTACACCAAAATTTCTCGGAAAAACACTTTTTCTTTTTAATTTTGGTGCGTAGAATCCAAATCAATTCGTACTTTTTCGATCAGACTTCTCAATCAAAAGTTATAGACTAGAAACCAATTTCGAAAAAAATTCAAAGGGCTGTAAGTTTTGAACTAGTAGCCCAATCTTGGAACTGTTTGAAATTATGGATTCTACAGGCCACATTCTATAAGAAAATTTTTTTTCCGGGTCGATCTGAGACATTTTTTATTCGGGGCTCAAAATTATTAACACGTTTCTCTAATTGGGGTTGATGTTAGGTTGTTAAAAAATTCTGTTTTAATTGAAGTGTTTTAGAATGAATTTATCATTTTTTGTCGTGGCATGAAAGTGCTGAAATACAATGATAGGCGACGCACCTTGTGTGAATTGTATATTTTGTTACTTTTAATTATGAGCTGCAATTTAAAAAAAAAACTGTATGGTAATTGTTGTTCGAGAAAGGAATATTGTTTTTGTGGTGCACCTCAGAGCTAAACCCAGTCCGCCCCTGCAGACACTTTTCAACATGATCGTTTTTGTTGTGGGAGAAGACCTTCACGTTCTTCTAACAGCACTGCCAAGAGCGCATCCGAATTTTTTTAAATCGGCCTATAGGGAAGTACCTACTACCGCATCAGAAGTAATTTTTTCTTTACAAGTTTGCAAGGTGGACAAGTAGTGGTAGATAACGCGTATACTGTTTTTGCACGCGGTCGGCGGATGCGATATTTCTTCAGCGATCTTTATCCAAGGAAAAGTCAAGTTCTTTAATGTTTTCGAAAAGTTCAAAGCATTTGCATCGGACTGTAGGTACAGGTATTTAAAGAAGTAGATGTAGATTCTGACACCATAGCTGGGGCAGGAGAACAATTCTTGGCCAATTGTACGGGGTTGGACAGACACAACATATTTAACTTTTCTCCGAAAGTAACAGTTCACAAGATCGGTTACCAAAAGTAAGTTCAATTTTACCAGCACCTGGACGACACAGTGTAGGTAAAACACTGATATTACATAGTTATACCGTTGAGTGTAAAGTTATACATAAAAATTGACTGTCTCAATTTTTCATGAAGGGGGTGCCCTGCTTTACCCCGTTTTCGTCGACCATGGAAATGAGTATATAATTGAGTAGATATTTCGTACCTAAGTAATAAGTGCAATTTCCTGTGAAAGGGCTCGTTTTTGCGATTTTAAAAAATATGCCACTTGTCGCATCACTTTAATATAATAGAAACTATTTGTTTAATGGAAAAATGTTTCAGACAAAACTAGAGAATTTAGTCCTCTACAGTTTGTGTAATAGGTACTTTTTGGATGGAAGCATCCGAAGCCAAAAAACAGATTTTCCCCGCCACTTTATTAAAATGGCGACGTTTCCCAGGACAGTGCGATGTCACAAACTTAATGTGTTGTTCAGGACACAAAACTGAACTAAAGCTAAAACTCCATTGCCTGCACTAATATTGAAATTGAAGGTACAAAGATTAATTGAAACCCCATAAATTTTTCCTTCGAATCTAAAACTATTCCTCATTCTCCCGAACACGCTATTTGTGAAAACTCCTTTTTTCGGTCCCTACATGAAAACCGACGTCAAATATGTCCCCCTCGGTGGGACATGTTCAGTGAAAAGGGCATGACTATGACGTTCCGTTCCCTAATTTACTAACCGTGAATCCTTTTTAGTGCGCCACCCTCTATATATAAAGGTAATTAGCCACGTGGTCAGGTGGCCTGCTCTGTTTCTCTTTATCTATACTGCATTTATATAATATTATTTATTCGTCATCTAAAAGCATTCGCGAATGAATCGCCAGTAAGTGCGGTGTTTCCTACGTGTTCGGTTCGTGTGATGCCCCGTGAAAGAGGGTGAGTTTTATTGTTTACTTTTATGAAAGATTGGGTGGCTCATCCAGAAGTTTTCCCTCTTTTCCTTGCAAATAAATAAGTGAAAATACGCTCGGACACGTAATCCATATATTTTGCATGATTAGGGGTATGGACGCGCATTTTTATGAATAGATGTATTTAATTGGTATTTTAGTTTTTTGTTTAAAAAGGTAAACATTTACTATTAATAGTTTTGAGTTTATTGTTGTACCTTGTCCATTTTAAAGGGAATTAAATTGTGTGAAAAAGTGAACAGCACAATTCAAGTTATGCTTAAATGGAATTGACTAAATATTCATCATCTGTATTTTAATACCTCGCATGGAGTCAAGTGGCACAAAATTTAGTGGTACACGTGTCGTGTGTTACGTCACTTAGGTAATTTCAGACCTCGAGCAAAACCTACTCTTAGTTTTGATTCTCGCTAATTAACTAATGTTTGTTGGAAAAAGTGCTAATATTGTTCCACAAGTGTAACTAGACTTTAATTTGTACAGGGATTTTGAAATTGATTACAATACGTAAGCTTTAGGTATGAATGTAATCGTGAACGAAAGCAAATATGTGTTTTTGCAAGGATCTGTTTCAATTCAATCACCCAAGTTGGTAACTTATTATTTAACCGTGAGGAAGTTAAAAGGGAATTAGCAATATAAACTAATAATCGCCATTAGAAATGCAATTTTATTATACATCTAAATAGAATAGGATCATCAGTGCTACTTTACGTATGTATATTCGGAATGAGGTAATTGAATGAGTCATTGAAGAATTAACAACCAGTTGGTAAGAGTTGCGCAGAGTTTATAAACGATTCGTCATAGTACGGGTAAGCGCTTACAAGGACGATAAAGTGGGGATACTTATATAAATATAAGTGAAAAGCGAAAGTTAGGTCATTCTCCGGGCAGTCTCAGACGCAGAAGGTGCGCCAGTTGTCGTGTGCCTTTGCAAGTGAATCGTATTCGTGGCGATACTTGGATGAATGAAAGCGTATCGAGAACTCCTAGTGCATAAACAATCAATAACAAGGTACTTATAAACAATTATCTGCGTCGTAGTCTTGCTCCACTGTTAAGTTGCTTTTATGGTAGTTTGCCCAGTTGTAGATTTTTTTTAAATAGCGTCAGAGCCATTGTAACTCACCGATATATATTAATGTAAATTAGGATGGAATGCGAAGTATGATTTTTGCGAATGAGTGTGGTTTAACTATTTGTCTTACAGGATCGTTCCGTCTCCGTTTATTAAAATATGTTCTCTGAGAAGTAGGAGAAAAGGTAAATTTGTTACGTCGGTTACATTTTCTATACACATCGATTGATCAAGGACTTAGAAACAATTTTCAACGCCAACCGAGCAGTGGAGATAGAAGAATGCGCTGATCTACTCTCCACTTGATGTATAATGAGACATGTACGTATAGCTTTCGTTAAAACGCCAGTATTTGTGCAGCAGTTGCCGTTTCCAGATCGCTGTGTACGATTGGAAGGAGGTTTTTGTCGTCATAATCCTGTCTTTTCCGTAAATTGTGGAAACAAGAGCCCGCATTTTCCTGTGACGTCACAGTTACATCAGCTGTTGCAGATAAGGTACGTCATACATTCTACGTATATTAAATAAACTGAATAATTAGATTTTTGGGTTCAGAAAGATAAATATAAATAAAGCAGACAACGCTTTACTTGCACTTGACAGTATTTAGTGATTTGAAGATATAATTCGGGTAACGTATCGATTTTGATCTTGATAGTACCTACATACCAAATTTCGCGCATTCCAATTTCATTAATCTACCCAAAGTAAATTTTGGGTATACTTTGTCATTCGAAAAGTTTGAGGAATCTTTAAAACTACGGCATGATAGCTAACTGAAATTCTATTTTATCAAAATCTAGCTTTTCTCCACATACACTTGCCTATAATTTGGGTCGGAAAAATTGTTCTTTGTACAGCTATTTGTGTCATAGGTTGGCAAGTACCGAAAAAGGATGTTATTACGCCTGTATCAAGCTAAATGAAAATATAAGCAGTTTTGGTGTGTACGGAATAAAATGTATAAGAATAAATCTTTTCCGGGTCGATTTCAGAGGATTCCTTTTTTCGACCTAACTTATAGGCAAGACTATATCTTCTTCTTGTAGTAGGTATTGTTACATAACTACCCTTGCCTACGCCCCTAACTATTTAGTCTATGTATCTAAGCCTCTTGGTTTTGCCCTTTTCCCTACCTTATATAGCTAGCTGTACCTACTAATCCTCTAATGTTAAAACGCCAGTATTTGTGAAGCAGTTGCCGTTTACAGATCGCTGTGTAAGATTGAAGGAAGTTTTTGTCGTCATAATCCCGTCTTTTCCGTAAATTGTGGAAACCAGAGCCCGCATTTTCCTGTGACGTCACAGTTACATCAGCTGTTGCAGATAAGGTACGTCATACATTCTACGTATATTAAATAAACTGAATAATTAGATTTTTGAGTTCAGAAAGATAAATATAAATAAAGTAGACGACGCTTTACTTGCATTTGACAGTATTTAGTAATTTGAAGATATAATTCGGGTAACGTATCGATTTTGATCTTGATAGTACATATCAAATTTCGCGCATTCCAATTTCATAAATCTACCCAAAGTAAATTTTGGATATACCGCAAGACCACATTATTTATTTACCACATAATGCATAACAGGTACCTACAGTCTTAAATGCATACACGATTTCATTGTTAAATAACTTTCGAATTTGAAATGTTTTTGAATCAATGTAGCAATTGTTTGTAATGCAATCGGTGACTCAGTGTGTACAGTTCTACCATGGAAACCAGAACCAGAAATCTGGTGGTGGAAACCTGGAATTCTTCCACTGGGTAAATTGTTAGTCTTTCGGTCAGAATGGAGTCATTTTTCATCCAAAAGTTTGAGGAATCTTTAAGACTACAGCATGATAGGTAACTGAAATTCTATTTTATCAAAATCTAGCTTTTCTCCACATACACTTGCCTATACTTTGGGTCGGAAAAATTGTTAATTGTACAGCTATCCGTGTCGTATAGGTTGGCAAGTACCGAAAAAGGATGTTATTACGCATGTATCAAACTGTATGAAAATATAAGCAGTTTTGGTGTGTACGGAATAAAATGTATAAGAATAAATCTTTTCCGGGTCATTTTCAGAGAATTCCGTTTTTCGACCTAATTTATAGGCAAGACTTCTTCTTGTAGTATTGGTTGAACGGAGTCCTCCAAGATTTCCTATCCCGTGGTAATCGTTTCACTTCTACATAACTACCCTTTCCTACGCCCCTAACTATTTAGTCTATGTATCTAAGCATCTTGCCCTTTTCCCTACCTTATATAGCTAGCTGTACCTACTAATCCTCTATGCCCTATCATTCTATCTCTTCTTCTCTGTACGGTTTTCCACATTTCCCTATGGCGACGTTTCCCGGGACAGTGCGACGACGCAAACTTAATATGTTGTTCAGGACTTAAAACTGAACTAAAACTCCTCGATTTAATACAAGGTAAAACTCTCCATTGCCTGGACTAATATTGAAATTCAAGATACAAAGATTAATTGAAACCCCATAAAAATTTCTTTCCAATTCTAAAACTATCCCTCATTCTCCCGAACACGCTATTTGTGTCAATAATTGAGACAAAATCTGTAACTATGAAAAGTCCTTTTTTCGGTCAGTCTAAATAAATTAAAGCCGACGTCAAATATGTCCCCCTCGGTGGGACATGTTCAGTGAAAAAGGCATGACTATGACGTTCCGTTCCCTAATTTACTAACCGTGAATCCTTTTTAGTGCGCCACCCTCTATATATAAAGGTAATTAGCCACGTGGTCATGTAGCCTGCTCTGTTTCTCTTTATCTATACTGCATTTATATAATATTATTTATTCGTCATCTAAAAGCATTCGCGAATGAATCGCCAGTAAGTGCGGTGTTACCTACGTGTTCGGTTCGTGCGAAACCTTTTAAATGCCACGTGAAAAGGGTGAGTTTTATTGTTTACTTTTATGAAAGATTGGGTGGCGGATCCAGAAGTTTTCCCGCTTTTCTTTGCAAATAAATAAATGAAAATACGCTCGGACGCGTAATCCATATAGGTAGGCACTTTTAATGACTGATTAACTAATATTTGATGGAAAAAGTGCTAATATTGTTCCACAAGTGTAACTAAACTTTAATTTGTACAGGGATTTTGAAATTGATTACAATACGTAAGCTACAGGTATTTAGGTATGAATGTAATCGTGAACGAAAGCAAATATGTGTTTTTGCAAGGATCTGTTTCAATTCAATCACCCAAGTTGGTAACTTATTATTTAACCGTGAGGAAGTTAAAAGGGAATTAGCAATATAAACTAATAATCGCCATTAGAAATGCAATTTTATTATACATCTAAATAGAATAGGATCATCAGTGCTACTTTACGTATGTATATTCGGAATGAGGTAATTGAATGAGTCATTGAAGAATTGACAACTAGTTGGTAAGAGTTGCGCAGAGTTTATAAACGATTCGTCATAGTACGGGTAAACGCTCACAAGGACGATAAAGTAGGGATACTTATATAAATATAAGTGAAAAGCGAAAGTTAGGTCATTCTCCGGAAAGTCTCAGACGCGGAAGGTGCGCCAGTTGTCGTGTGCCTTTGCAAGTGAATCGTATTCGTGGCGATACTTGGATGAATGAAAGCGTATCGAGAACTCCTAGTGCATAAACAATCAATAACAAGGTACTTATAAACAATTATCTGCGTCGTAGTCTTGCTCCACTGTTAAGTTGCTTTTATGGTAGTTTGCCCAGTTGTAGATTTTTTTAAATAGCGTCAGAGCCATTGTAACTCACCGATATATATTAATGTAAATTAGGATGGAATGCGAAGTATGATTTTTGCGAATGAGTGTGGTTTAACTATTTGTCTTACAGGATCGTTCCGTCTCCGTTTATTAAAATATGTTCTCTGAGAAGTAGGAGAAAAGGTAAATTTGTAACGTCGGTTACATTTTCTATACACATCGATTGATCAAGGACTTAGAAACAATTTTCAACGCCAACCGAGCAGTGGAGGTAGAAGAATGCGCCGATGTACTCTTCACTTGATGTATAATGAGACATGTACGTATAGCTTTCGTTAAAACGCCAGTATTTGTGAAGCAGTTGCCGTTTACAGATCGCTGTGTAAGATTGGAAGGAGGTTTTTGTCGTCATAATCCTGTCTTTTCCGTAAATTGTGGAAACCAGAGCCCGCATTTTCCTGTGACGTCACAGTTACATCAGCTGTTGCAGATAAGGTACGTCATACATTCTACGTATATTAAATAAACTGAATAATTAGATTTTTGAGTTCAGAAATAAAAATATAAATAAAGTAGACGACGCTTTACTTGCACTTGACAGAATTTAGTGATTTGAAGATATAATTCGGATAACGTATCGATTTTGATCTTGATAGTACATACCAAATTTCGCAAATCCAATTTCATAAATCTACCCAAAGTAAATTTTAGGTATACCGCAAGACCACATTATTTATTTACCACATAATACATAACAGGTACAGTCTTAAATAGATACATGATTGCATTGTTAAAAAACTGTCGATTTTCAAATGTTTTTGAATCAATGTAGCAATTGTTTGTAATGCAAATTAACGACCTTTTGCAAGGCGCGTCTTCGAGAGGTAGTCAACTTCGGGCGCCTTTTAGTTTCCGTTGCGAATTTTGTCACGCGGTTTAACGTTTCGTAAATCTCGAATCGCTATCTCTCTTTCTCGTGTCGCCAATAGAAGCTCGAGCAATGAGAACTGCCCCAAAAATTAAGTACTATCTTGTTTTTAGCGAAATCCACCAAAATGTGGGGGTAATATAAGTATGCACCGAAGAAGGAAATGCGGTAGCCTCCGACACGATCTGATGGTGATGGCGTGAAATCTTCAAACGCGCATTGGAAGGGAACGGGATATCGGAAGTGGATACCACCACAGGGAATATGGTAGCCCCCGACACGATCTTCCTGATGGCGGAGTCAAATCTTCAAACACGCATTGGATGGGAACGGGACATCAGAAGTGGATACCGACAAAGGGAATATGGTAGCCCCCGACACGATTTTCCTGATGGCGGAGTCAAATCTTCAAACACGCATTGGATGGGAACGGGACATCGGAAGTGGATACCACCACAGGGAATATGGTAGCCCCCGACACGGTCTTCTTGATGGTGCAGTCAAATCTTCAAACACGCATTGGATGGGAACGGGACATCGGAAGTGGATACCACCACAGGGAATATGGTAGCCCCCGACACGATCTTCCTGATGGCGGAGTCAAATCTTCAAACACGCATTGGATGGGAACGGGACATCGGAAGTGGATACCACCACAGGGAATATGGTAGCCCCCGACACGATCTTCCTGATGGCGGAGTCAAATCTTCAAACACGCATTGGATGGGAACGGGACATCGGAAGTGGATACCACCACAGGGAATATGGTAGCCCCCGACACGATCTTCCTGATGGTGCAGTCAAATCTTCAAACACGCATTGGATGGGAACGGGACATCGGAAGTGGATACCACCACAGGGAATATGGTAGCCCCCGACACGATCTTCCTGATGGCGGAGTCAAATCTTCAAACACGCATTGGATGGGAACGGGACATCAGAAGTGGATACCGACAAAGGGAAGATGGTAGCCCCCGACACGATCTTCCTGATGGTGCAGTCAAATCTTCAAACACGCATTGGATGGGAACGGGACATCGGAAGTGGATACCACCACAGGGAATATGGTAGCCCCCGACACGATTTTCCTGATGGCGGAGTCAAATCTTCAAACACGCATTCGATGGGAACGGGACATCGGAAGTGGATACCGACAAAGGGAATATGGTAGCCCCCGACACGATCTTCCTGATGGCGGAGTCAAATCTTCAAACACGCATTGGATGGAAACGGAACATCGGAAGTGGATACCACCACAGGGAATATGGTAGCCCCCGACACGATCTTCCTGATGGCGGAGTCAATCTTCAAACACGCATTCGATGGGAACGGGACATCGGAAGTGGATACCGACAAAGGGAATATGGTAGCCCCCGACACGATCTTCCTGATGGCGGAGTCAAATCTTCAAACACGCATTGGATGGGAACGGGACATCAGAAGTGGATACCGACAAAGGGAATATGGTAGCCCCCGACACGATCTTCCTGATGGCGGAGTCAAATCTTCAAACACGCATTGGATGGGAACGGGACATCCGAAGTGGATACCGACAAAGGGAATATGGTAGCCCCCGACACGATCTTCCTGATGGCGGAGTCAAATCTTCAAACACGCATTGGATGGGAACGGAACATCGGAAGTGGATACCACCACAGGGAATATGGTAGCCCCCGACACGATCTTCCTGATGGCGGAGTCAAATCTTCAAACACGCATTGGATGGGAACGGGACATCGGAAGTGGATACCGACAAAGGGAGTATGGTAGCCCCCGACACAATCTTCCTGATGGCGGAGTCAAATCTTCAAACACGCATTGGATGGGAACGGGACATCGGATGTGGATACCACCACAGGGAATATGGTAGCCCCCGACACGATCTTCCTGATGATGGAGTCAAATCTTCAAACGCTTTGCGGAATAAAATTGTACCGACCAACAGAAGAATCAGCATCCAATCCAAAGAGCGATTGCTTAGAAGATATTCAAGTCTACGACTTTATAGCATGCATTCCAGTTGAAAACACCTGATAACTACCCCATATTGTTGATTCAACCGTTTAGTCGTAAGAATTCAGATCTTCCACGTCGAAGAAAAAAAATAAAGAGGTTAGTCACATTTCTGTATTCTTTTGCCAATCTCAATCGGCAGCTTTACGATCAAAAGTTATTGAGAGATCCTAAAGTAGTCTAGAACATTGTAAATATTGTCTTTTTAATGTCTATTGTTATCAAAAGGACCTTCTGAATTTGTTGTCCATTACTAATCAAACTTTCTTATTTATTTATCTATTTATTGTCCATCTGGTTCTAGGCCCTCAACAGGAATCAAAGGGATTTCGTCAAATTCCACTGTGCAGGAAATCAAGTTCAGGGGTTGTCTATGACCAAATTTGCCAAGGTGAAATCAAAATTAATGGGTGTTTGAAGAAGATTCAATTTCAAACCGGTGATCAATTTCGACCTAGGAAAAGTGATGGCCATCCCGAAGTATTCCAAATTTCTGACAGGTAAAAGTTTAGTAAATACAATTCAATGTAACAAAAGGAGATGCATCCTCCTTTATAAACCACCCTAAATATTTTTGTAGTCATTTATCACTGCAGTGTTCTCATTTTGCTGGACAGTAGGTACCTAGTCAAAGAACCCATTTATTACGAATCAAAATTATTCATATAAGCAACAGGTGGGTCTGAAAATTTAAGAAGCCTATATAGTAGAGTGAAAATAATCGTAAAGTGTAATGCCTAATGCCGTTTCTAAAAAAAACTTCATTTTTGCTACAGTACTACAGTAGGGTAGAATTTGAATTTAACAGTGTAACGTAAAGATTAACAGTATTAAAGTTAAGTTTAATAGATAAATGGAAAAGCTTTATTGTGACCATCATGAAATAATCTAGCGTTTTCCTTTTACCAGACTGAGAATTATTAACACTAGCTTGCATTGTTTCTACGGGGCAGCTTTTAATTTGTATTTTTGTAGAAGTTCTACAAAGAAGATATCCAGCAGAATCGAGGGTAGTATAGACATCCCGGGTCCAAAACCACGGATCTTCCAGAGAGCACACCTGTGGAAATTGGAAACGAGACGTTACAAACTTCAACCGCCTGAGGTCAGCGACTGCTACATTTGCAACAACTAAAAAGGTACGTTGTTTCATTACTTACATTTGATTGCGAAAGAGAGTGAACTCAATTAACTTATCTGTTTGCGTGTAAACGTTTATTAGAGTTTGATTTATTCATTTAAATTTAAGAATAAGTGTTTCCTATATTTGTCTATTAGATTAAATTATTTTTGACCAATAGGATTTCTTTTTATTTTAATTACAATTAGGGAACCGCTCATTTAGAGTGATTGTCGGAATTTACATATTTCAAGAGAGGCTTAAAGTATATATATGCATGTCTAAACCAGTGTTTTTTTCTAAATTTTGAATACAAATTATTGAGAATTAATGAGACATCGGTAAAATAGAAATGAACTAAATTCTTTCCCATTCTTCGAGCCATTGTTAAACTGTACTTGTACTTGAGCTAGCTGGAAGTAACACGAAGAAGAAATTGCAAGAAGAATTTACATCACAAACCTGAAGGAATGTTCAACCCTTTAAAGATACCTACGTACCAGTTCAAATTGGTACCCTTCCACGAGGTAGAATTACAGAAATATGCCGTTTAATTTGCTTAAATTTCCTTCACTTTTGCTTCTTAATTACTTTCATCATTTGTTATGCGGTTTATTTATTCAAACTTCCACATTCTAGAACAAATACTTACCCACCTTTTCACAATACTTCTGGGTACTTATATGTAGCAGATTTTAACTGGATTTCTCCTTTCAGAAAATCTACTCGCCACGTTGCCTCAACAAATCCATAATTGGTTCCAACTGCTGCCCGACCAATTAATATTCTTCGGCTTCACACAGAGCAGCTATGCGAGTGAGTACACTCGGATTGTCATCAAAATGTAAAAGGTAGGAGAACTGCACATTGCCTACACGTTTGTTACTGTTGTAATTGTATGTTTAAAATCAAGTATCAAGTATCAAGTATCAAGTATCAAGTATCAAGTATCAAGTATCAAGTATCAAGTATCAAGTATCAAGTATCAAGTATCAAGTATCAAGTACCAAGTATCAAGTATCAAGTATCAAGTATCAAGTATCAAGTATCAAGTATCAAGTATCAAGTATCAAGTATCAAGTATCAAGTATCAAGTATCAAGTTTCAAGTATCAAGTATCAAGTATCAAGTATCAAGTATCAAGTATCAAGTATCAAGTATCAAGTATCAAGTATCAAGTATCAAGTATCAAGTATCAAGTATCAAGTATCAAGTATCAAGTATCAAGTATCAAGTATCAAGTATCAAGTATCAAGTATCAAGTATCAAGTATCAAGTATCAATCAAGTATCAAGTATCAAGTATCAAGTATCAAGTATCAAGTATCAAGTATCATCAAGTATCAAGTATCAAGTAATCAAGTATCAAGTATCAAGTATCAAGTATCAAGTATCAAGTATCAAGTATCAAGTATCAAGTATCAAGTATCAAGTATCAATCAAGTATCAAGGATCAGGTATCAGTATCAAGTATCAAAGTATTTCAAGTTATCAAGTACTCAAATCAAGTATCAAGTATCAGATCAAGTATCAGTATCAGTATCAGTATAAGTATCAGTATCGGTATCAAGATATCAAGTATCAGAGTATCAAGTTCAAGTATTTCAAGATCGTATCAAGTTATCAAGTATCAAGTATCAAGTTATCAAGTATCAGTTAAGTATCAAGTTCAACTATTCAGGTATCAAGTATCAAGTATCACGTATCAGTATCAAGGTTCAAGTATAAGTATCCAGTTTCAAGTATCAAGTGATCAAGTATAAGATATCAAGTATCAAGTATAGTATCAAGTATCAAGTATTCAAGTGATCAGTATCACGTGATCAGTATCCAAGTATCATGTATCAATATAAGTTCAGTATCAAGATCAAGTATCAGTATCAAGTATAAGTCTCAAGTTCAAGTATCAAGTTATTCAAGTTCAGTTCAAGTATCAAGTATCAAGTATCAAGTATTCAAGTATCAAGTACAAGTATCAAGGTTCAAGTATCACAGTATCAAGTATCAGTTCATATCAGTTCAAGTATCAGTATCAAGTATTCAAGTTCAGTATTAAGTATCAAGTTCAATATCACAGACAGTATCAAGTACAAGTATCAGGTAACAAGTTCAGTTAGTATTCAAGTATTCAAGTTAGTATCAAGTATTACAAGTATCAAGATCACAGTATCAAGATCAAGTATCAAGTACAAAGTATCACAGTATCAGTATCAAGTATCAAGTATCAAGCTATCAAGTATCATATCAAGTATCAGTATCAAGTCAGTATCAAGTATTCAAAGATATCAGTATCAAGTATTCACAGTATCAGCAGTTCAAGTATCACAGTATCAGTATCAAGTATCAAGTATCAAGTAATCAAGTTCAAGTATCAGTATCAAGTATTCAGGATCAAGTATCAAGTATCAGTATCAAGTATCAAGTATCAAGTATCAAGTATCAAGTATCAAGTATCAAGTATCAAGTATCAAGTATCAGTATCAAGTATCAAGTATCAAGTATCAAGTATCAAGTATCAAGTATCAAGTATCAAGTATCAAGTATCAAGTATCAAGTATCAAGTATCAAGTATCAAGTATCAAAG